GCCTCCCTTGGGGGCCCCCACTGGCTCTGCCACACACAACCCCCCCCCCGCGCGCTAACTTTGGCTTCACCTGTTTATTGAGAAGTGGCCTTCTGACTAGGGATCCCATCTGACGCTCGGCATGGACAGAGGGGCTCAGCTCAAGCCCTGGGACACCGGAACAGAAAGGAAAGGAAGCCAGAGGAAAGGGCCGAGGGCCCCCTCTTCACCTCTTCCTTGGCCCCCTCCTGACCACAGGCTCCCTCCAGTCCTTGCTTCCCAGGGAAAAGAGCTCCCGGGCTCCCCTCGGAACAAAGTGTTAACATCTTGGCACTGGAATCCAGGTGGAAACTTCTTTGGTGGCCTGCACGAGAGAGTCTGGCCTGAGGTTTTGCACCTGGGTGGTCATGTTTCAGATCTGCCCCCCCCCTTGTCCAAGAAAGAGAGTCCCAGAGAATCGGAGCTTGGCCGTGTTACAGGCAGCCGTGAGGAAGCAAGCAGCCCCTCCCCAGTGGTCTTAAGTGGCAAAAATGAGAGCATTCTTTGGTCACAGGAAGAGAAAAGCAGCTGCCGGGAAGGAGACAAAGGCCGCCGAGGGACCACACGATGGGGCAACGACACAGAGCGCCGATGCTTTCGCCACTAGGGAGGCGCTCATTCCACTGACCCCGCCTAGGGTCCCGTGCATAACGGCTCGGGGCATAAACTCCACTCGAGGTGGTGGAACTTACTTTGCAGGAACCGTGTGCGCTCACGTTCGCACCGGCAGTGGCCCAAGCATGCTCTGGTTCACCCCACATCCAGGTTTAATGCCCAGCGGCCACTCTGCCTCCAAGTTGGCGTTTACTCTTACGGACGGACGGGCAAGGCAGCCGCGCCCTCCCTCCCCCTCCCCATGAAATGCTGTGCTTTTATCTCCCAGCCTTCCTCCTCAACATGCCTAGGGGGTCCCTTGTGGAGGCCTGGCCCGCCTGTCTCCCCCAGGGGTGCGGAGCCAGCCTGGCCACTGGGACGGACTGGGAACCGAGGGCACCGGACTGGAGACCGCGATTCCCCCCCTCCATAATGGCAGGAAGCCGGACCAGGCGAAGGAACCACCGTAGGGCCAAATGCCCTGAGATCGTTTGGCCCAGTCTTAAGGAAAGGCTCTGCTTTTGCTCAAAATCTGCCACCCCAGCCCCTTCCTCCACGGAGAGACCCTCCTCCTCTCTCTGTAGATCAATCCCCCTCAGACAACGGTGGGAAACTGCCCACGTCCGCGCGTCACCATATTACCGAAGAAAGCAGGCGCTCTGTGTTCTCCCCTCACGGCCCACGTCCGCGCGTCACCATATTTCCGAAGAAAGCAGGCGCTCTGTATTCTCCCCTCAACCCCCCCCCCAAGAGGGACCAGGCACGCAAGACACCCCGTGAGATGGATGTGCTGGCAGGAGTCGCTCCGTGGGGTCTCCTCTTGTGTAAGAGTTCAGAACAGCACTGAGGTAACAGATCACAGTTTGTCTTCTTCCGGAGAAGGCAGTGGTTTTGATAGAAGGAAAATCCTCGCTGGGCCCGGCCGGCTCCACCCCTCCCCACCCTCCCAACGCAAACGCCTGCACCTCCTGTCCGTGGTCGGATCCTGACCCCGGGCCAAGACCGAACCAAATGTCATTGTGTTTATTGCCATACTTTAAAGGAAGCGTTGGATTCGTGGGCTTTGTGGCTTTTCTCCCCCTCCTTTCTTTCCTGCGCCAGCACTGTTCGCGCCCTGCTTAATTTCCTCCATCTTCTGATTATGTAAACATCAAGACTCTTGGATGTGTCTGGGTGGGGCGTGGGGCTCCGATGTCAAAAGACCCCCACAGAGCCACTCAAACCTCGATTTGAAAGGGGAAAAAAATAATAATAAGAGCAACCCAACATGGAGACAGCTCAGTCCAGGCTCTGAGTCCTCATTTCCAAGTTGGATGATGGCTGCAGTTGTGTTGAAGGCTTTGTTTTCTAAAAGAAAAAAGGGAAACAGAAACAAGAGAACCCAAGCCGGGTGCTTTCCCTCCTTCCTTCCGTGATGCGCGGAGGTGCCCGTTTCTCCCTCCTGGATCTGGAGAGCCCCTCCCCAGTCCTCACCCCTCCTTCGGTTACGGGAAGACGGGGGTCAGCCCTGTGTTACAGGTCATGTTGTCCTTTCCCGGCAACCGTCGGTCATTGAAGGTGTGCATGTTGATCACGGCGTCCGTCTTCACCATGATGGGGGGCTGGGGCTTGTGTTTCACACGCCGATGGCAGGTCAGCGACAGTCGGATCTCATCAGCCATGGCACTGCAGAAGGAGCGCTGGAAATGGGGGGGGGGGGGAGGACAAGAAAGAGGGAGACGGAGATCAGATGTGGCAACAGAGGGACCCTCGGGACGCAGGAGAGTGGCCGGCGGGGAGGACCTCCTCGGAAGCATCGCTCCTTGCTTTGCTCCCACTCTCGTCTGCTGAGAGGAAGGGCGGACATTTCTGTCTTCCCAAGCAACCCAAGACAAAGTGAAAACAGGCAGACAGGCTAGAAGGGACTCCAAGCGTGGAGTTGAGTTCCTTAGCCTTGTTTGTGAGGATGAGAGAAGCAAAGATTTACATGCCTAATCTTGGGCAATTTGGACAATGATTAAGCCTTATGCAGAGCTCCAAAGCAGCAGCATGACTTAAAGAGGGCCCTTTGGAGGGAAGGATGAGACCCGGCAGGTTCTCTTTCTAACTCGGCCCGCCTGGCGCCCCAGGTGCATCCCTGAAGGGAGGGGTTTCCTGCCAGCAGCCATTACCTGTTCACGCTCGGCTGTCTTGCGCAGCCTGTAGATGAACTCCACCGTGGCCACAAACACGGAGAGGATGAGGCCCGCGGCCAGGACAATGAAAAGCCCGCCAATGTTCTGGATGCCCAGCGCGCTGGCTTCCTTGTTCTCCTCCTCTGGGCAGCCATTGCTTCGCCACCACTTGTCCTTCATGGCGTGCAGCTTGGCCTCCTCCTGCAGCTGGAGGATCGCGATGGTGATCTTGTCTCTGTACGGTGACCCTGAAGGCAGCAGAAGCAGAGAAGGCAAGCATCCCGTTATAAGCACACAGAGGGCAAGCCAAAGATGCCCAGATGGAGACCAATCCGGCAACTGGCATACATTTATGCCCACCTGTAAAATCCTTATTCACACCACTTGACCTAGAATGGAACTTCCTGTTCTATGAAGCCACCTCTCTGTCTTCTGCAGTTTCCACAGATGCTCAACATGTGCTTGGCACAAAATCACAATTTCTAGTAACTTCTCTCTTTTTTCGAAAGAGCAGAGACCCTCAGAAAGACAAAACATTCTGTGCCTGGGGCCTGATTTGTTTGTTTTGTTTTTCATTTGTTTGTTTATATTGGGCTGTTGAAATCTCAGACATGGTCTCAGTTCTGGTTAAGGCTAGCTTTTGAAAGCTTGTTTTCCGTCACTGTAAACTCTACATGATGCGGTGGGGCAGTTGGTCCTTTCCTTTTGAGAAAGGTGGCTTTTTGAAAGCTGTGAGATGAAGGCTCATCATAGCCTTGGCTCAGAGTGAGCATCACGGTGTCTCTGGAACTCACCAAGTCAGGCCAGGAGCCCTTCTTAGCTGATGGATGGATGGATGGACGGACGGACGGACGGACGGACGGACGGACGGACGGACGAGGTGGCTGTGCCTCTAAGGCTGGGCATGGGTCACTAGCCAGGGAGCGCCCAGCACAGTGGAGAATGGCCGCCATGCAGCTGCCTTGAGCAACAGCCTCCCTCACCACCAGCCTCCCAACCTGCCCCCACCCCCCTTCCCGGAGCCCTGCCGCTGCTGCTCCTCACCCATTGGTGTGCCAATCCCGTAGCCTTTGGTGTCTATCAGCCCCCCAACCTGGGTCAGGTTGCAGTTCCTCTGGGTGATGTACTCAATGGTGGTGGATTCCATCAGCAGGGCGTAGTCTGAGGTGAGGGCGCGCTGGATCCCTTCCTCATTGTTCTTCACAAGGACAGAAGGCTTGCTGCTCATGAAGGCCCACATTTTTTCAAATGTGGAGATTTTGGATTTCTGAAAGAAGAGCACCGTGAACAAAGGAAAAAGCGACAGTCAGCCGGAGGGAAAAGGGGGCAGGCTTCTCTTGGGCTTTTCCACTGCCCCATCCCTTTTGAGCTGCTTAAAGGGGACAGAAACATAAAAATGCAAACAATCATTCTGGAAACAGCCAAACCCACGATTGTGTGATGGAGCATAACTGAATTGGTCACTGGGCTGACCCAGCCTCCTGGTGGCCCCTCAGCCCGCATGCTCACCCCCCATAAGCTGCTGAGCTGGATGGCCAATGCAGGTACCCAGGCAGCCAGCCTCTCCAAACCAGGATGCAGGAGTGTTTCAGGAAAGAAGAAACCTTTTACTTGTCCAGGCTCATATCCACAGCTGATAGCCCACCTTGTCCATTTTCACCTTGCTTTTTGCCTCTTTCCAGACAGGTTTTAGAGGCCCCCTTTTTTCAGCTGCGAAGCCAGTTCAGTTGCACATGTGGCAGGAAAGGTCACCTGAGCATCCATTTGTGCCCCTTGCTGGGGAGCAAACGATGCTCTCTGGAAAATGAAGCCAAACGTAAGAAGGTGGGGCTCCCATCATCCATGGTCAGGAAGCCATTGAAGTGGCTGGCCCATTCTTAAGGGTTTTCTTTAGAGACTGGTACTGGGAGCCGGGTCCCTTATCTCCAGCGTAATCTCCAATGTAATATCTTTCTCGCCTACCTTTATATTAAAAAAAAAACACAAGCAAAAAAGCAAAAGTAGAAAGCCCTAAAAACTTCCTTTAAAACCCATTTCAGCATCCTTCAGATGCCTGAAACCTTAGGAACCACTTATAAACTATAAAGCCATCCCCTCTTCTCGTCCTGGGCTTCCCTTGTTTTTAAGGCCCAAGAACTGGGGTGTGTGCATCTCTCTCTGTCTCTCTCTCTCTGTGTGTGTGTCTGAGTGAGTGAGTGTGTATGTGGCCATAAAAACATGATGTTCTTCATCATTGCCATAAAAATCGGTTACGGTCCAACAGAAAGCCTCTCAAATTAAAGCTAGTCTTTGATTACATGCAAATTAACTCTCACTTTCTATTGCTCTATCACCTCCGTGAGGGTATATTCTTTTTTTTTAATAACCATATTAGTTGTCAAATGTCCACCGTAATTGCTTGCCATTAAAAAGCGAACAGTCAATACAGCAGGCAATTAACAACATCAGCTTTTGAAGTTAATCAGGTATCTGTCATGTATTGATTCATGTGCCAAGCAGCACTTCTTTTAAAAAAAATTCAAACAGAAGATTTATTGAGATGCTGCACCCTTTGTTACATCATGATTGGATCTTATAAACATACCCTAGTCATTTGTAAGTGAAGTGCAGCATAAAGGGACTGTTTTGTTCAAATTAATAGAAACGTCTTGCAATCGTAGCCGCGAGGCGGCCAGTCCATCTGCTAATTTTGGCATCTCTGTCCTCTTAGTGGCAAGTCTACCCTCTGTGCACGTTGCCAGGAAACTCTGTTGAAAATGGAAGATGCTTCTCCCTTGCTGTCCGCAGTACCCTCGCCCATAAGAGAGGCTGAACAGAATCCCTCAGCCGCTGCCTCTCATGGGAGGTGCAAGACGACAGAGACACAATCTCTCCCTCCCCCCACAGGGTCATTTTTAGTTGGCCTGAACAAGTTGCTTACTCCGGACTGATACGCCCAAAGGTAGATAAAAATGACCTCACTATACGAAAAAAGAGAGCAGCAATAATAGGCAGGGTGTTGGGAAAAGGTAAGTGAGCTCTATTACACAGCCACTGTTGCATCAGGTGGCATGGGGCCCCCCAGGACAGGGCCCGCAGGAGCGAAGCCTCGGCCCCAGTGCCCACTGCACTATTTGGTTGCTAAAAGCCTGAGAGACCGTTCACAATCAGGGCTACGACATGCAAAGGAGCAGATTTCAGATGCTTCCAAATCTGTTGCCTGTGCTTTGCAGAGAAGAGGAGCATCAACGAAAATGGGATTGATTGCAGCCATCCTGATGGGGGTTTCAGGCCCAGCCCTCCAAACACATGAACGAGATTGTTTTAGGGGTGCTGTCTAGAAGTACAGCCCTAGGCCTTCCCTGGCCAAATCCTGGTCAGAAGTGGGAGATGTTCTGCCTCGGCTGGAGGAAGCTCGGGCAGAAGGGGCACTGGGTGGCCCTGCTGGCACCACTCTCCCAGAAGCGCAGGAGAGGAGGGCAGAGGAGGCCGGGCTGCCCGGAGGGCAAAGGCCGGGCACCCTCTCTCTCTGCGCCCCAAGGAGTGCATTTGAAGCTGATGCAGAAAGAGTACCACAAGGTCCAATGGAGCGGGGCTCCCTGCTCCCACAGCCTCCATGAGTGGCGAAGGCAACAGCCTGAACCAACCCCGTGCCCGATGCTCCTTCTGCCTGCCTCGGCTCCTTGGAGCCCCCCCACCCCCGGCCACCCTGACCAACAGGCCACCACGGGTTCCCCTCTTTGAAAAGGCCAAGAGGCTCCTGGCTTGACCCCCAGAATTCAGGAGGAGGCCAGGGTGGGGCGGCCCTCCTGTCCTTCCTGTCCGCCAACATCACAGGCACCTCCCCAAGACCCTGCCCGTTCTCGAGGCCAAAGCAAACTCCCTGGCATGCACCGGGTCCAGCTCCGACAGCTACCAAGAAATCAGTTTTCAGCAGCCAAACAAAGACACCCAAGCAAAAGCGTTTATCATCTCTGTTCGCTCTTGAACAGCAACGAAAAAGAAGAACCTGTGCGGATAATGCCGCAGAAAGGGCTGAGCCAGAGACCTGGGTTCAAATCCTGCAGGGCCATTATACTCCTCTCCTCCAGGCTTCCTCTCTCACAACTTTCCCTGGCAAGGCGTCCTGTCCCTTTTATGGTGGGGAAAAAAGGAGAGGATAAAAATGTAAAGGACAGCCTTGCTTTTATCTTCACATAATGCCTGCCTTTTGGGGAAAGCTTTTTTGTTCTTTCCTGCTGTTCCTGTGGCCCCATAATCTTTATTCCCACCTTTGGTGGCTAAAGGCAACTAAGCCCTTCCTTGCCTTTATAGCCAGTTTTCAAAGCATTTGAAAAAAAAGGGGGGGAGAGGGTATCTTGCCTGTATTTCCACCCCCCCATCCCATCCTTTAAAATCCATTCTCCAGATTTAGTGGAAGAAGGAAATTATTTTTGAAAAGGGGATAATCCCTTGGCAAGACAGAGCTTTGCTGTGCTCAGCTTCTCTTCTGAACATGCACATTTACAACTGAAAGGCATTTTCAAAGCCCCTTCTAAATCTCTTAATTAATTTCCAGCTCCTAAGCAGCATTGTATAATTTTAATGTTTATTTTATTTTTTATTTTTTTTAAAAAGTGTCATATCTGCTTCTCTGCATCCACCGGCTCCCTCAATTAATTTTCTTTCAAATGGTGGAAATTAAGGCAAGTTTTTTTCCCCCATGTGATGGGAACATGAGGAGAGCTGGGTGGATGGCCACGGCAAAGGCGGAGAGGGCTTTTAAGCACCGACTCCATCACTCTCTGACAGCCGGCTGGCCGGCCGGCCAGGTTTTCTGGCTCTCCTCCTCTGTCCTTTTGCTGCCGAGCCTTTCTGATGGAACAGCTTTGGGCACTTCATGAAATATTAACGTGGGCTGGATCCCTCCTTCCACCCCACTGAATTATTGAGGATGTTAGCTGGATCTGAGCACTGGGGGCCCAGCAGCGGACGGAGCCATCCGGTCCTGCATTTCGCGCAACGGTCTGAGCAAAACCAGGAAAGATGCATGACAGGGTATGTTAAGGAACGTGGTTGCATGACTGAAGCACGAAAGCAAAAAGCTCTCGGTTGAGGCCAAACCCTGCTCTTCATTCTTTGCCGTGTCTTCGTGGCGCCTCTTAAGAGGTCAATTAAGACCATAGACCACAAGCATCTCCTCCTCTCCTTTTGCGGGACAGAGCAGGGCAATGGGGTGAAAAGAAACCGCCAGGAGGGCCCCAGGAACACCTGCCTCTAGAGGTCTAAACCCAGAGACCCTCGGCCATCATGGCCAGCTTCTTCCAAGTTCTCGGGTCTTTCAAAAGATGTTGGGCCACAAGCTATTTATGGCTCCTGGTGCTGCCAACACCCTGGAATGCCATCCATGCGCTGAATGCAACACCATTAAAAGGGCAGCAATAGAGGGAATAATTGCACAGCACTTGCCTTTCCTTCTTCACCACAGCCAAGGAAAAAGGCATCCACTCTGCAGCTCACACTCCACTGTTCCCTGACACACACACCCTTTTCTGCCTAGCAAGGTCATTACTGGGAGATTAGGAAAGAGCCTGGGGCAACGCTGGGGGTCTCCAGTAACCCTCCCTTCTGCATCCGCTGAGCAGCTGCTCCCTTCATGCAAACCTCAAGCCAGGCCTGGCCTTCTTCTAGGAGGGCCTTGCAAGACGCAGGTCCCGCATGAAGGAAGACACACTCCCTGATGTGTTTGCTACTCATAGGTCAAGGCCATCATTCCCATCACGCATGCCCCCAAAGCAAATGAGAAGCCAGCGTGGTGTAGTGGATAGAGCAATGAACTAAGACTCTGGAGGCCTGGGTTCAGTCCCCCGACTCTGCCTCAGAAACTCACTCGGGCATATGAGGAACTGGCAAAAGCCATTCCTTCAAAATCTCGCTTCCCTTGAAAACCCTGCGAGGGACACGGTAAGTCCGTTCTGACTTGACGATCAGTCGGGGATAACAACCAAGACCCAATACAGTAGAACAAAAGGCCTCCAGGTAAAGGTTTGCTCGTTAATTGAAATAATGTGTGAAATCTTGCCTGCGGTTCTTCACACACCCCTCGGACCACAGCCCTCCCTCATCCGAAGCTCCTTTGCTCACCGACCCCTTTCCTGCCTATACCGTGCCACACACAATAATGACCTGCACAATTAAATTACAAACTGCCTAGAGAACGCTCCAAGTGCTGTGAGGCAGTAGATCAGCAGCGCCCTTTGCAATTCATGCAACTCTCTCTCTCTCTCTCTCTCTCTCTCTCTCTCTGTGTTTGTGTGTGTGTGTGGGGGGGGATAAGAAATCTGTGGTAAGTAGCAGGAAATTTCTCACCACCTCTGGCTGGGGAGGAAAATGCCCCTCTTCCTTCACCCTCACCTCCCTGAGCAACTGCCTCCTTCTGCCCCTCTTCCCTCACCTGCATCATCTCCATCCGCTGCTTTCTCCTCATCCCTGAACCACCCCACCCCCATTTTCATGTCTCTGTTTTTCAGCCGGGGGGGGGGCAGGCGGGATCATTGGATTCCATTGCACTCACTGGGGTGCTCGAATCCTCCCAATGGGGCCCTTGCAGAGCTGAAAGAGACCTGGCTTTGAGGGGGGGACGTGGGCAGCATTACGAAGCGTCTTGCAAGCGCTCCGTCCCGCGGGCTGCTCCGAGTCCACCCACCCAGCCCATTTCTGAGCAGGCAAACCAATGAAGGGGGCAGTTTCAAGGAGACAGAGAAGGAGCAGCAGTCCCTCTCTCTCTCTCATGGATGGGGCTCAATGGGGGCTCACGGCAGGCTCCTCTCCTTGCTGGTCTTGCCATGAGTAATGCTCTAGCACCATTGCATGAAGGCTTCTCTGTCTGCCTGGAGGCCAGGATCCGGGAAGGCGCTCAAGGCTCACCTTGAAAAAGGTCATGGTGGCTCCATCCTTCACTGCTCCGTATTCAATTTTGGTTTGCTTGGCCAGGTCGTCGGCAGAGTCGATGGGGGATTCCATTCTCTCCACCGTCAAGAAGGCGGCCAGATTGGCCGTGTAGGAAGAGATGATGATGAGGGTGAAGAACCACCAGATCCCTCCAATGATGCGTGTGGAGAGGGCTTTGGGCATCAGCTCTGAACCTGGGAAGAGTTTGGGATGGAAGACAGGAAGAGGAAGAGGTGGGAACATGACCGCAGGGGGGGGGCAACCCATGGAAGGCACCCTTCTCAGACCCCACATCTTTATTCCCGGCTGGACTCGGACCCTTGCAGGAATTAAACAATTTTTCAGTGTGCAAATTAGGCAAGCAGGGGTGGACGTTAAGACATTCAAATGATTCTTTTTCTTTATTGCTCTGCAAAGCTTGTGGGAATCCCCAGCTGACGTTGGGTAAAGGCCGCAATTTATGGGTGACTTTCAAACCAAAGTAATTAAGTAAGCAGCTTTTATGTGATTTAAACAGCAAGCCATTTGTGGATTTTTATGAGTGGGTTTTTCCCCCCTCCTCACCATTTAAAATAAAGAGGCACTTCTTTTGTAGTGGTGGCTGTTCAAAAGGGCTCACCCGAGGGAAAAGTTCCAAATCTGCATGCATTTGTGCATGCAAATGTGCATGAAAGGGAAATGGTCCTGGCGGCTGCAAATGACCGCAGGAGGGAAGAAAACACCATTTGTTCTGGAGGGTGGGAAAGGAAAGGCGTAACAGGCTTGTAAGCTGCTGCCCGGTTGGGGTTGGGGTTGGACGGCAGAGGAGTCGAGGGGGTGGCGGAGTCAAAAGGCATAGCCAGCTGTCGCTCCCTTCTTCTGCTTCTCCGGGCAATCCCTTCCACAGATTCTGACACGATGGGTTCAGCAGGAGCCCAGCCAGACGGGTGCCCCACCTTGACAGTTTCTGGCAAGGACGGAAGCAGGCAGGAGCATAGGAAAACGGGGGGGGGGGGCAGGCTGCCCAAAGTTCTGGCTTCACAGGCACAGCGACATGCAAATGGGAGCTTCTCCTCTCGGGAGCTCCTGCTCTTCACATGGAGGAAGCAAAGCCAGAAGCGGGAGGGGACGCAGCGCTTCTCTCTAAATGTGTCGACTGCAGAGAGAGAGGGAATGACCGAATAGGGCTGCGGAGGTGAGAAACCGGCAGATGTACATTCGAGTGGACTACCAAGTGTAACATCATTTAACTAGACACCTTCTTGTGAATGGTGGGCATCGCGATTCATTATAAATAGGGATGTTGCCATGCATGCTTCCAGGAGACAATCGGAAGTCGTGCCCCTTATTTGAGCTCCAGGGTACAACTCTGACTGCATCCTTTAAGCTTCACCAGCTGGGGACCTAGTGGCTTATGGATGGACAAAGACAGACCACCCTAGTGGGGACAGCCCCCCCCAAGACCTGGCACTAAAAACAAACTGTAGTTCCTGGGGTTCAGTGTGGCCTCAAAACCTCTCCCCCCCCTTTAAGGAACCCACTAGAAATGATGCTGGTCTTAGGGATGTCCGATTTGGTCTGGGGGTGGTGGTCAGCTCCGTCATTCCACCTCTTTCCAGCTTCACCCACCGTAGCTCCTTAGGAACAACCTCTCCCCCACCCCTGGAGTCCCCCACCTGTATGAAGGCCCCTGTTCTCTTGATGGTGCTTCAGTGCCCACCGGCCCTCCTTCTGCGTCCTGCCTACCAGGAACGGCCCCCAAGCAAAGCAAAGCGCAGCAGCCAACCCCAAGGGCAGCCGCGCAGCCACGCTGGAGTGGCACAGCTCAATTAAGAGCAAGAGCTGGAAGGAGGGGCGCGCCAGCGCTTGATCCCCACAGGGCTGTGTGGAGCTGTCAGGGGAAGGGGAGGGCGGACGAGCGCTCAGACGCTGCACCTAAAAGCTTGCGTGGCTGAAGAGAGACGAAAGCGCGCCTTGACAAGCACTCCTGTAATTGTTCAGAGACAAACTCCCCCGTTTCCAAACCAGTGTCTCTGCTTGTCATTGTGGGATGACAGAAGCTCTTCGGCAGAGCTCAGCTGCCTCTAGACGGTGGCGAAGGGGGAAGAGGCGCGACGTTCTTTTTCTTGCTCCTGAAGCTTTTTTTAAAAGGAAGAACAACTACGTTTCTCTTGCACCTGTCAAAGAGGAAAACCCACAACAGGCGTGTGCAGGTACACACGGAGCCAAAGTGGCGTGCAGAAGAGGCGTCACGGGCCGGGAAGGGAGCAGCGGCACACGCCTCGGGGGGTGGGGGTGGGGCAGGGAGACCTACCTTGCTGCATAAGGGCCCCCATTCCGAACCAGAAGCTGTTGAGGAGGGTAAAGTTGTTCTCCACCATGTCCGAGCCAGGGTTGCAGGGGTGGGCATCGTACCACTCGTAAGGGCTGAACCTACAGAAAGAAGCAGCAGCGCTCAAGGGAAACCACCAGGAATCCCCCTGGGATGGGCCAAGAGGGGGGTCATAGATGCAAGATCGGTGTGTGTGCATGTGCGCGCGCACCAAATGCGGAAGGTTTGGTTTGGAACCACTTTGAGAAGTCCAGCTGTTCCAATTCAGCCGGAAAGTTTAGGTGTCTGGTTTAGGTGTCCATTTCAATCAGGATCTCGCTTTGGAAAATGCCAAGGCTTCTCCCCCTGCACAGACTCCGTACAGCTTGGGAAGCATCAAACAGGTGCCCCGATTTCGATCTTGACAGAAGGGGACGAAAGCTGGAATAGATTAGTAGTGCTTCCTGAAAGGACACTTCCTGCCAAATTTCTGACAGGTATGTTTGTGCAAGGCCAGCCTTTGCCGCTCGCTCGCTCTCTCAATCTCTCGCTCTCTCTCTCCTCCACCCCCACCCCACCTCTGCGTTTTCTAAAGAGGCCACCTTGAGGCAAGGGAAAAATGTTTTTCACATTTTTTCCCCAAAGACCTGCATTTTGCAAGACGATTAAACTAAATGTAGCATAATTGCTTCAGAACCAAGCAGATTAATAACCATCATCACCACTCCTCCCTCCAGAAATCCACACAGCTTTGCATCAGCCATTGTCTCTTCCAAACCCCAGCCATGAGACTGGGAGGAGAGGGGGAAGGGGGGGGCAGCAGCTGTAGTTCCTTTCACCAAGCCCCCCCTCCCTCGCCATTCATTCCCTGCCATTTACCCACAACAGACACCGTCTTAAATGAAAGAAGGGTCTTTGGTTTCCCCCAACCTTAAAGCACAAATGCATTTGCAGGAAAGGATCCATGCGGGCCGATCTGAGGCAGGCACCCAGCCCAGCAAACCTGTTCAAACACAAAATGTTGACCACGCGTGGGGGGGTGGGGGGACAACAGGAGCAGGTCCACAGCAAGCGGCAATTAAGCACTGTTTCTGACATCACTGCCCTGGTGAAACTAGAAAGCATCGCCAAGCAAAAGCGGCTACCTGGCTGACACAATTCTGCATTTCTTTCACTTTGATGGCATTTGGTGGAATCGTGCTGCCGCTCCATCAAGACGCTTCAAAACCTTAGGCAAAGCTCTGATGGATCAAAACGTCACCATTTCTGGTCCCTGAGCCGCCACAGAGCCCTTTTAAACAGCAGGCAGTGACCTGTGGCAGCGCGGATGGAGGGCTTTGTAGGGCTGGGAAAGAGGGAGCAGGTGCGTTTGAAGAGACACAGGCACACATACCCTTTGAATGAAGGCGTGCCGAGATTGGCAACTTTTCCACAGAATTCTGGAGCCAGGCAAAGGTCAAGAGTGGGAAACTGCCCCCTGAGATCTGGGGCCGACACACACCGTCTCCTCCTCTATGTCCTCTTCTGGAAACCCGCTCCCTACCCCCCTCTTTCCACAAAAGCAGCCTTTGTGCAAATGTAATTAGGATGAAGGCAAGGTGGTGCCTGGGGGGGCGGGATCAGGCAGCAGAGGAGGACAGATGAAAAAGGGAAAAGTTGCAGCAACTTTAACTGGAACCAAGGCAAAGAAAAGAGGGATCCTTTGTGTGTAGCTGGCACAGGAAAATCTAATTAAAAAACAAAAACTTGGTAGGGTGACATTGTGGGGCGGGGGCGGGGCTTTGCAAACTCCAATCGGCAGAGTTTAAATCAAAAAGATAAAACATAAGGAAAGGAATGGAGAGACAAAGACGAAATTAAATCAAAGAACAGAAAGGATGGATGAGTTCTCAGCCACCTGGCAGAGAGAAACAGGGGGTGGAACCAACCCTGCTCTTTGTGAGTAGTCTAGCTGTTGCTTGGACCCTCCAGGACTGCCTGGTGCACCAGACCCTCTCCAAGGCATTGGAAAGAGAGGCGGCCACTGCTGCTGGCCACCCACTCATCTCACCCCACTCCTCACGCCTCTGGCTAAAGGGGTTTCAAGTGACCAAATTCTTTCATCAAGCCCTGGAGGAGGAGGGATGGGCTGGGCTGCCTTGGAGGCTTCCCCGGAGGAAAGGGGGCGTGGAGTGCGAAAAGGGGGCATGGAGTGTGAGAAGGAGCCGAGCCTTGGAAAGCAGGGTCCTTTGCACTTCTCCTTTTCAACAGCTGGATCATTCTCAGAATTTCTTTCATCAAGCCCTGCCGATTCAAGACATTTAGCTGCCCCCAACCCCAACACTTTAAGAATTCTTGGACATCCTTCCCTTAGTCCGGAGCACGGGTGCAAGATGGCAGGAAGACGGCTGAAACGTTCAGCAGCAGGGAGTTATCTGTGTGGTTCAGATCTTGCCTTCCTGAGTGGCTTCTCCATCCTCCATCTATTGTCTGCTACAGGTTGCTCAGCTCCCAAAGCCATGGCAGGTAGCAGCTCAGAGTAAGGGGATGTCTTTTTTTTTGGGGGGGGAGGTAGCCATCCATCTTGGGAAATGTTCCCTAGCTGAGATTTGCCAGGCCTTGACCTTTTATGGTCTTAAGTGTTGCACCAAAGCCCTCTCTGGGAGGGAGGGAGGGAAGGAAGGAAGGAAGGAAGGAAGGAAGGAAGGAAGGAAGGAGGGATGGAGGAGCCTCCCCATTCCCCACAGAGGGGTCTTGGAAAGGTCCTCTTCTCAGAGTTGGTGGATGCACTTGCAAAAACTTTTAAATCAGCCACCGAGCCCATCCAGATGTGCCAGAGCAAACAAAGAGCCAGCCTGCTCCCCGGAGAGCCGATTTTTGATAAGCTGCATTACACAAAATTACAGCATTAGGCACTAAGCGCAGGTAATCACCTCCAAATGCCGCCACGGTCCCAGAGAGCCGGCAAACCACTGCCACCGCCAGAACACAGAAGCTAATGGAGATAATGATGCTGCTGCCGCTGATCCACTCAGTGGCTCCCTTTTCCGCTCAAATCCCCAACTGGACAGGCTGTTGCAAAAGCTGTCTGGAAGCTGACCCCACATGGATGGCCGCTCTGGCGCTGGCATATTCCCCCTCCTCCTAGTCACTTCCTATTAGCCCATGGTCAAAGGTGGGAGGCAAACCCATCTAATGGCTTAATGTACTGCCGCAGCACATCTCTCTCTCTCCTTCTCTCTCTGTCTCTCAATAGCAGCACAGGTACCTCTGTCTCTCCCTCCTGCCTCCAAGCCCTCCCCCTGCACAATGCATGCAACGGTGATCCTCCTTGCTAGGAGCACCTGCTAGGACAATGGGGGACCAGTGGCCACCCCTCCCTCCTCCACCAGTTCATTGATCTCTCCATGCATGCAGTTGTTTGTTGGCTACACTGCGTGTCCTGCCATTTCCTCTGTGAGGCCAGGCAGAGCAAGGGGTTCCTGACGGGGCCCAAGCTGCCCCAGGGACCTTTGTGGCTCAGTGAGGACTTGATCCCAGGTTGCTCTAGTCCCAGCATCGCAGGAGAGCAAGTTGGTCCAGCTGCTGGGGCCACCAGGATGCTTCCTGAAGGTCCTTGGGAGTCTTGTGGGAAGGGGAGGGCCAGGGAGGAGCATAGCATGGAGGCAGAGGGAGTCACCAGAGGAGGAGGAGGAGGAGGAGAAACAGAGGGTGGCAGGTGAGGAACAGCATCCTTTACAACCACGGAATAAGGATCTGGGAGAGGCAACCGTGAGCATGCTCTGCCCTGGGAAAGCATGAAATGGAAGCTTTTGCTTGTCCCTGAACCAAGGCCAAGGGAGGAGGAGGGGTCCACGGTCAGTGGGATCAACAGCCGAGGGCCACGTGCGACAGGCACATGCTTTGTGGGGAGGAGGGTGTCCGAACGGGATGCCGGCACCCCGGAGGAACCCGAGAGCTTCCAAAAGAAGCAGCCCAGCCTGAGCCCAGCGTTGGTCCTCAGGCCGATACCTGGTGAGCTCCTTACCTGGCGATCACAAAGAGAACGCAGCTGACACCCAAGTAGGCGAGCAGGATGTACATCCAGATGTCAGGGGAGAGGGGGTTGAGGAAGGAGAAGATGCTGGGGTTGGTCCCATTGGCCTTCCGGTAGAGGATGCTGATTCCCAAGGTCATGAAGGGCTTGGAGAAGTCAATGGCTTTCTCCCGGACGTGGGTGATGGTTAACGGGGCAACTGCCAGGTCCGCTTTCTGTGGGGCAAAGAAAGACAGAGACAGAAAGAGAGAGAGAGAGGGTTTGAACACACATTGTTAGCCAGAGAGGAGGGAGAGGACCAGGAGAGAGAGCCGGGGGCTTCTCTCTCAACTCAGCAAGGAGAGCCTGGCCTCCCACTTCAAAGATCCCGTTTGTCCATCCAGGAGAAAGTCTGTCACAGAAACCACTGGATCCACCATCACTGAGAAAAAATATGTTCAAAGAACCAAAACATACTGAGGTATTCCTTCCTATGCACTCCCTGTCTGTCTGCCCCTCTGTCTCTAGTAAAAAAAGAAGTGTACGCCTCCCTCCTGTTTGTATACGGAAGAACATGAGGAGGGTCCCGAAGCTGGAACCGCCCGAGGACCCCCTGCCTGTCCGGTGTCCTCTTCTCACCGTTGTTAGCCACAAAGGCCACCAGCCGGGCAGGCAGGAAGGTGGCCGCCCCCTCTTCCTCCTCCTCCTCTTCCTCCTCCTCCTGCTCCTCAGCACCCCAAGGCGGCCCCCAGGCGCTCACCGCCTCCGGCACTGAAAGGAACAGGCAGCTGTCATGGCAGCCAAGGTGGATCATCGCCTCAGGGCGGCGGACCGTAATTAAAGCTAATAAAGTGCAAAACGTTCCAAACAGCAAATGTCACCATAGACGCCATTGTTGAAGCCGAAGAACGCAGAAGGTGCCGATGAAACAGAGTAACAAGGACGACGTGCCCTCGAGTCAATTCTGACTTTTGGTGATCCTTGCCCTCGAGATTCATCTCGTCTACTAAAGAACCGACCATCCGTTTATTCAACAGCTGAAGGGTGAGAGCCCTTCCCTGTGAGTTTGACGGGTGCCTGGCATGTTGGGCAACCTCCATGTCAGGGTGGATGTGCCACACCAGGTCCCTGGAACACTTTCCTCCAAACCGGGAGATGCCTTTCAACAGCCTGATCGAGGGACTGGGGCTCTCCAGCAGGCTGGAGCAGCCCCCCCCCCTCCGAGAGCTCAGAATGGACAGATCGCTCAAGAGTGAAACACAGACACTTCTGGCCTTCACAGTGGCCTTAAAAACATTGTTCATTCGTTCATTCATTCAGTCAGTCAGTCAATTTATATACCACCCATCTGGCTACTCTGGGCAGTTCACAACAAAATAAACCATAATAACATACTATATAATAACAACCACATAACATAATCAGGTTTCAGTGGTTTTTCTCCAACATTGGTTTGGGTTTTGTTTTTTGCTCTGCTGAGTGGAGTGTTTCCTGTGCCTTGCTTGTATCTGCCGATTCTTCGTCCTTGTGCTTTGAATTTCTGTGTTATTGATGTTTTATGGACTTCTGGAAGCTGAGACGAGAGGGATTCACCCTTAAAGGCAGCTCATACCTCAAACAGCCAGGCAAACCCTTTCATCTCCAGGGCAAGTGGGGGCTCTGCATGTTTTGGGGTGTCCACTGAGGGCTCGCCCATGAGTCTCATGCGGAAGGGAGTCCCAATTCCCAGTAGAAAGGCTGGCGCATCTTAGCAGCCAGAGAGAAGCACGGCATCATAGAGTTGGAGGGGATCCCCAAGGGTCATCTACTCCAGCCTCCTTCAAAATGCTTCCAAACAGCAGTGGGAGTTCCCCTATGCATCAACCGCCTGCGCATTCAACAGAGAAGATGCTGAATGCCAAACGCAGCCCCAGTTTTATCCAAGGACAGGCGAGGGAGAGAAGGGCAACCGTCCTCTTCAGCTGTTTTACAGAAACTCCTCATCTGTGGCACAGGAAGACAAGGCGGATCATGCAGAATCCATTGAGGTGACCAGAGAACACAGAGATTGGCAGGAGAGGCAGGAGTTCCAGCCGATGCGGGCCAGGGCTTGGAAAACAACTCGTCCGGGTGGTCTGACCCCAACATCATCTTTCTGTTTAGGGTGGAAGGGGAGAGATTCAAGATGCGGACAGGACAAGAGAAAGGCCACCCTTCAGGCTGTAAGGTAAGGGCTCGGTAGACGACACAGGCCAGGCAACTGAAAATCTGATCATGAGATAGTTCCCAACATTCACCAAGGCAATGTTTTGTTTGGTTTCCAGAAAAATTAAAATAAAAACTCGCTTCCCCTTCGGTTATAATTCATAGCCACAGGTATATTTCTAGGTCACCCTGACCATAGCTTTGAATAAAAGGAATATATAAATGGGAGCACAAGCAAAGGGCATTAAAAACGGGGTCTATGAAATCCACCTTCTCAAGTGTGTGTTAAAGAAAAAGAAAAAGAGTGTGTGTGTTGCTAGATCATTAAATTGAGAACTGCCCGGAGGGGCGCTCCAGGCACGACAGGGAGGTTATATGAGCAGCACACTTTGCTTTTTGCTTTTAGGGATGCACACACACACACCCCCGTCCTACCTGAAATCCTGTGGAGGTTTTTCTAATCTAACCTAATGATCATTCTTCCAGCTTGGAGAACTTTCAACATTTAACTATAACCTGGCAGTACCTGAGGAGGCGGCTCACCTGGGGTGGGAGGGGGTTGTGAGATATGTCGGCTCCTGAGATATGTTTTGCTATGGCATTGACCTTGATCTAAACCACTTACCAACATCCTCATGATGGAGGGAGGAGTGGACTTGGTCAAACGCCAACAAGGAGCCAGGTTCGGGGCCATGTCTTCCCAATGGCACGGAGGCTCCTTCTCCCTCCCTCCCTCCCTCCCAAAGATATGCCCTGCAAAGCAAACAGGGCACCGACCTGGCCATGACCAACCTGGTTTGCAAGAGAGTGGTGATACTGGGGTCACACATCTCTGTGAAACAGTCTCCCAGCCTTTGTGCCAAAACCACGTCCAGGCTGGGAAGCCATCAGGAGGCAAGTGGGCAGAACTGACTCTCAATAAATGTTGGTTTGTCGTAAAACTATTAAATCACCAGTCCAATCGTCCCCGGGGATATAGAATAGGCTGAATAACCACAATCAGTGGGAAACGATTTCCATTCAACCTCCCCGATAGACATTTTGTGGTCTTTGGGCCAAGTGGGATTCATAACAGCCAAGGAGGAAGCCTTGCCAGCGCATAAAGGCCTGGGGGTGCAAGTCCAACAGCCGGTGTCTCTGAGCTGTGTTGGTGAACTCTTCACTGCAAATTTAGCATGGAAGCATCTTCTGGTTTGTAGTCAACGGAAGAAGGAAGATTCCAGAGGCTCGGACGTCAGATGACTTCATGTTCGGGCCACAAGAACAACCTTCGGATGCAGATTGCGGGTGTTCAAAAAGCCCAGAAAACAGACATGCAGGAACGGGTGGCCAAGCGGTCGGAGAGAATCATCACAAGGACAGAATCTGGTCAACAGGCAGGATGGTGCTCAAAACCAGAGGGATCCTTCCTCTCATCCAGAGTGGAATTTCCTTGGGAAGGAAAGGTGAGGACCTTTGGCGGAGGGAGGGGGTCAAGACAGGAGACCCGGCGTCAAAACATTTCAAGGCATCCAGGGCTGTTGTTTTGTTGCTTACGGCTGGCTTTGACACAAAGAAGTTTTAGAAGAGCCAGCCGTTTCCCCACAGCCTCGTTGCCTGTGGCTAGACCTGCCTGGATCACACGGCAGGGGCGAAGGGGAGCATGCTCTCCCCCCCCCCATGCACTGCTGACAAACAGCGAGCAACAGTGTCACATCACAGGCAGTCTGTGGTTGGAAACCATGCCCTGCTTGCAAGTCAGAGAACCACGTGATTCACTGAGGGCCGGGGAAAGCCAAAGGAAGTCCTGGTTCAAGCAGCCGACGGGTCAAGCTCATCTTCTGCTGAGGGAGGAGGAGGAGGCTCGGCAGGTTTCCAAGGAGCTCCCTCTAATTCGGATCTCAGGCCTGGAGTTAGAGCACCTTCCTCTCCAGGGGAGCATCCACAGCGCATATATCTCAACCCCATCAGCTGATGAACTCTGATGGCTCCCCCTGAACAATTCTGAGAGTTATGGATTTTACAGCCTGCAAAACTGGATTAACCAGAGGAGCTGGTCTCTCTCCCTCCTTGGTCCAGCCCAAACACAACAGGCTCTTGAGTCTCAACTCACCCCCTGCCCAGCCCCAGCCCTTTGCTGTCCTACAGGGTCTGCTTTCCTGCTCTCCTGGGCAAAGTTTGGGACTTGTGGCAGGGGAGAGCCACCCCCATTCTGCTAACCAGGTTTTGCACTCCTACTTCCAGATCATCCAGATCAGCCTTGGAGGCCAGAAGGAAGACATCTTCACGTCCGTCCCACCCCAGCCTTCTAAGATGTCCATGGGGGGAGGGGGGGAAGCAAATCCATTCACAGCTCTGCAAACGCACCACAAAGAGGGTTCAGAGAAGCCTGGGGACACCTTCTCTCAATCAAGAGAGGGGACGGAAAGTGGCAACTCTCCCTCACTCACACAACCTGCTTGTCTTAAACTTTCTTTCTTTCTCTCTCTCTGTTCTTCCACTCAGGGTGTTTCTCTGCAGTTCCTGAAGAGAGACAGACCTCTGGCTATAATGGATACTCCCAGTTTTTCTCATCCTCAGTCTTGACACATGGTGGCACCTTCAAGATTGCCAGATTTATTACAGCAGGTGCTTTCGTGACACGCTGTACTTGAAGAGGTGGTTTCACGGAAGCTCCCGCTGTGATAAATCTGCTAGTCCTAAAGGCGGAGGTAAAAAAAGTATACACATTTTTTTTCCATCCTAGATGAAAAGAGGTGTTTCAACACGTCATGACAGACCATAAAAAAATAATGATTGACCACCCTGATATTGTTCATGCCCGCGGAAGCATGGGAAGACTGAAGGTGGGGCAGAAAAGTAGTCCTGTGGAAAATGCAAAAAAACTTCTGTTCAAAAACACCTTTTTGATTCCTTTCCTCCAAAATGTGCAACCATGCATAAAAGTTCCCCCGTCTCAGGGAGTCGGGAGGAAGCCGCTTGTCTTGTCTTCTGAGAAAGTGAAAAAAGCCAAGGCTTGGGTCCCTAATGAAAGGAGAGTACAATGATCTCGGCAACCTCCCGGTCCCCTTCCCGGATAATGCAGGTTGACCTCTTCATGGGCAAGTCTTCCTCCGGGCTCTGCACCCTTACAAACGCTACCATGGTGGCTGTGGCTCCAGCCACCTCCAGGATCCTGTGAAATGTAGTCTGCCAAGAACCTCCGTCAAAGGATGGCAGGTGGAGGAGGAGGAGGAGGAGGTGGTGGTTCAGCACTGTGAAATTTAGTCTGCCAAGAACCTCCGTCAGAGGATGGCAGGTGGAGGAGGAGGAGGAGGTGGTGGTTCAGCAGGTTGACTCAGGAAAGCTTGGGATAAAAGGAGCCCCTTCGTGACCTTGAAGAGGTGCAGAGTGATGCTGGCTGCTTCATCTGAGCCAGCCAACCCAAGGAGGAACCAGAGAGGAGAGGCTCCCCATTGCAATCTTAGTCTGCCAAGAACCTCCGTCAGAGGATGGCAGGTGGAGGAGGAGGAGGAGGTGGTGGTTCAGCAGGTTGACTCAGGAAAGCTTGGGATAAAAGGAGCCCCTTCGTGACCTTGAAGAGGTGCAGAGTGATGCTGGCTGCTTCATCTGAGCCAGCCAACCCAAGGAGGAACCAGAGAGGAGAGGCTCCCCATTGCAATCGCTGGCAAAGGCACTTCCCCTCCTGAAGGCTGTCCGGCTCACCCAGGATGGAGCCGGCGGCCCTCCTGTTTCCTCACCCAGGATGGAGACACGGCAGCCCGCCTGCTCCTCCCTGCCAGACAAACAAACAAAGGCGCAATCCTCCACTTTAACCGACTAATGACTCCTTAAGGGAGATAATCCACTCTTCCAGGCATCAGGGCTGCTTCCCCCTCCTCTCCCCCCCCCCCACGTCACTCAGGCTCTCACAGTCCTCTCCAAAAAGCACTCACAACATAATTATGCCATTAATTATTTCGTTCTGTTTTACAGGTTCCGTCCGTCCGAGGAGGCCTCAGAACTGAAATCTGCACGAAGGCACTTCAGTGGGCTGGGAAATGAGGTTCCCGCAGACGGCCTCTCGCCACAGTATTATCTGAGCAATCACACAGAGAGAGGGAGTGTGTGAGAGAGAGGGAGAGGGAGAGATGCTGTTGCAGAACCATGCTGTGAGTATCTGCAGACGGGAACCCAGACGATTTGTCAAATGGAAGAAATCCATGCAAAGTGGTGGGGGCCCTCTTGACAACAGCAAGCTCCTCAGAAAAGCTTTCTTGCACCTTCTGAAGCCAACAAGGTCCCTTCGCTCCGAGTGGCTTCCGCTTGACCAACAGATGCTTGTTTTAAATGGCAAACAATGGTTTCCAGGAACGGATGGCGCAAGTCCCAGCAAGCGTGACCGAGACGGACAGATTGGGGGCTCGGCCGTGCTAGGCTCACAGCTCCGTCTCGCCACTGATGTGGTGCATGGCTCTGAGCGAAGCCATTTCTGGTTTCAATTAAAACAGAAGCCACTTAGCACTGCAGGGGGAGCAATTAATGTTTGCCAAGTGCTTGGAGAGATGCAAATGAGGTTCTTGTGAGGCTAGTGCTGCTGGCTCATTTAAAGTGTCCTGGAAAGGGTGGTTGGTTTTCCAGGACCTTTTAAAGTCTTTCCTCCTTCCAGGAAGTGACTTTTTAGCCCATGGCTTCTGCAACACTGCATGTGTGTGTGTGTACATGTGTGCACATGTACACAGGAACAGGACTGTGAAGCAGGCAATTTCTGCAGTGCTATTGGAAAGGTTCCCATGGGGCAACATTGCCTGCCTGGAGGGGAAAACTCCTGGCCCTGGGAATTGGCTAAGCACCTTCCCTTTCCACCGTAGTGTGGCTCTCTCCCCCCCCCCAACCCCAATGTACAGGAGGCAGGGTGGAGTGAGAGTGCCTACGCTCCATGGAGGGGCCGCCCAGGCCTCTCAGTCTACCTGCATTGGGGGGGGAGAGGGACGACAAGGATTCCCTAGGCAAAGCGGGATGTGCGCCACAAGAAGGGCTGGTGCAGCTGCTCTGCCGGAAGGCTGACTCGGTTTATTATTCTGGCCAGGTCAGGCTGCTTTCAGAAAGAAAACTGCATTCCCAAATGAATGAAATTGTGCCTCTCGCACCTGGTCCTCCTTCTCCAGCTCACCAGGCAATAAAAGAGCAAGCCGAGACCATCCTGGAGAGGGAGGGAGGGAGATCTCGCTTGACTGGGGGACCCAAGTTGCCTGGCTGCCAGGAGCTTAACCCTCTGAGAGACAGATTTCGCTGCCCCAGGCTATGAATTCAGCAGAACTCCCCTCTCTTTGGCCCCTTTTCAAGTCTTAGTTCTCTGCAGCCACAGGCCATGGAGACCCGCTGCCTCTTCCCGAACAAGCCCTCCTGTCCTCTTCCATGGAAGGGGAGACTGTGTGTGTTTCCCTGGCTCCCTTTTCCAACACGGCAGCATCACTACATGACTACGCCCACCTGCCTGAGCCTCTTGTCTGCTTTAAGGGTGACAGACAGCAAGAAAAAGCACAGAGGAAGCCCCCTGTTCATCTACCAATGTTGCCCAAAAGGGCATTTTCCAATCCAAGAAGTGCTCCTTTCTCGGAAGGAAACTCTGTACTCAGGCTTGAAGGCGGATCCAGAAGTGACACCCGTGGGCAGGAGTGTCTTGGTCCCATCTAAATGGCCCCCTACGTAGGGGCATCAGCTCTGACGCCCCCCCCCATGTCAGTGCCCAGAAAGAGGTCAAGGAATTCTGCTGCCTCTTGACACAAGAAAAGAATGAGAACAACTTTTGTGCCAATGAAGCAAAACGACACAAAGCAACACAAATGCAGCTTTAATATCAATCCTGTAGGGCTGACTACTGTGTTGTGTGGACTTTCAAGATTAGAAGCAAGGGGAGGGCTTTGTTTTGTTTTGGCATTTTTGAAAACAACTACCTGTCCCTCACTGAGCCAGCTGCATGCACACACACACCTGTGTGTTTTGCTTCTCAAAGAACACTGGCTGTGTACAAATGAAATCTGTGGGAAACAGTCTGGCTTTCACATGGAGGTGAGGAATCCCGGACCGCTTCAGAATTCCTCCCGTCTCAAATCCAGACAGCCTAAATTGGTGAGAATCTCGGCCGCGTTCTCGTTGTTCCTCCTCCAGGCACCTGGATTCTGCCTTCAGGGGGTGCAGGAGGCCCAGGCAGGGCAGCCAGACCGCTGACTGCTGCCAGCATTCGGAGCCCCGTTCCTGCCTTATTCCAGCAGCTCCCTTGGGTGCTGGCTTTGTTCCTGGACCCAACACAAAGTGCAAGCGGTGGGCAGATAAAGCTCTCTGTGGCTTATGGCTAGGCTACCTGAAGGGCTGCGCTTCCCTCCAGATCTGTCCACCCTTTGCCATCGTCTCCAGAGGCTTACCCAGGACATGTGTTTGGTCTTGAACACCCCCGGCAGAGTGAGTTTTCCCCATGAGTGCTCCAAAGTCTTGCAGTTCCTCCATTTTGGAAGCCTTCTTGGCCACCCTCCTTCTCAAGAGGCTTGTGGCACCATGGGAAAACCTTTTTTTTAAAAAAACAAAACCCCTACCATTTGGCATTTTGATTCTCCTGGTGTTCTGTTGGGGAATGTTTTTATTCATTCCCCATCTTCACATTTTAGGATTTGGATGTGGGAGAAATCTCTGCCTGGTAGATTTGGATGGAGTGGGGTCAGACCTTCCAGTAGGTAGGGGTGAAGGTCCACCTGAGCACAGGAAAAGTCCTTAAACAATGTGATGGCTTGAGAGCTTCTCAATCCTTCTACCTCATCCCTGCTCCTTCTTCTCGTCTTTCAAAGCTACCATTTCCTTGAGGCCACAAAGTGCCTGAGATGCACCATGGAAGCAGTGAGATTTGGTATTTTGGTTTTTAGATGTTATTTTTTTTTGTCTGCACTTTACAGTTGCATTTAGTATTTTTATTCTTATTGCAGCCCACATTATCCATGGTTTGTTGCAGTAAAGAAAAAGAGACTGGAAGGATTTGGAGGAAACCTTGAAAACAAACCAGTAAGTCAAGGTGAAAGCTCAGTGAGAGCAGGAAGTAATCGGGGCACAGAGGCAGAAGACGTGGCCTGACTTACGTGATCAATCAGCTCCCTGATCATGCCGTTCCACTGTCCCTTCTCGTCTTGGGCTCCATACTTTCCATCCTCCACCAGCCGGATCTCATAGGAGAAGCCGAGGATCCGGGCGACCTCCGCCAGGAGGTCAATGCAGTAGCCTTCAAAGCGCTTGTTCCCAGAGAGGACTGTGTCTGACTTGGTGAACATGATGAATGGTTCCTCCTGCACAGCCAGGACAGAAGGGAGAACAATGCCATGAGACAAGAAGTGCTCACAACCTGGAGCAGCACACATCCTACCAGAAGCCTCACAATTAGAGACAGGCATGAACTGAAAAATGAACCAAGAATTTCATGGAAAACCACAAACGTTTCTTTGTGATTCCACACACATTCTGGTTTGCCCCACCCCCACAGCCTGCCTCCCTTTCCCACTGCCCCCGTCACCTCCCCACCTGGTCCTCCTCCTCCTCATCATCCTCCATCACCTCCTTGAGAGGCAGCCAACCCAAAGCTTGGCCGCTGTCCCTCAAGATGGCGGGGGAGGAGGAGGTAGAGTTTCCCCTTTTCCCTGCCCCGGTATGGGAACCTTTCTTAAAAAAAAAAAATAATGAACTGGTTTGTGAACCACAGGAACCACAAGCCACCACAAACCACCATTTCTGTGGTTTGTGCTTATCTCTACTTGCAGTTTGCCCCCCTGGGCACACCTGGGGGATGGGCTACTGAACAGCAGGCGCGCCAGAGGAGCCTGCTTGCACCCAAACGAGGAAACGGCTCCCGAACCTCCGAAACCGCCCCTCTGCCTTGCATTAGCGCTCCTCCATGGGGCCGGCCAGAGTAGTTGTGGAGCCCCCTTCCTCTCCATTATTTATAACTGAAGCAGCGATGCCGCAGCGGTGTTGCCGCTTTCCTCGCCTCAGCTCTGCTCCCGGAGGTCTCCCGGGGACACACACACACCCCTGAGGTCATTCTTGAACTCGGCAAGGCGGTCGTTCACAGGCTGTTTCACAATTTAGAACTGGAAACGGTCAGAGATTCCACTCGCAAGCTTTCAGGGCCTGCTAATCGATTTCTCGGCAAAGGTGCCCTCAATTTCAGGATCTTCGCAGCTCTCCTGTGGCTCGAGGAGAAGCCGCGCCGTCTGCCGGGGCAACAACAGCATGTCGTGGGCCAGCCCCTGACAAGTCTTCTCTCTTCCCCCCCCCCATGTGAGCAGAAGTGTGTGAAAGAAAGTGGGGAGGGCAGGAGGGAGGGGAACCAAGCCAGCCCCCTCCCTGATGCCTCCCTTCCTCATATTTCAGAAGGCTGAGAGTCACCGGAAGTGTGATGAGGAACGTCCTAGCAAGCGGTGACGGGCAAGAGAGCCGCGGAAGCACTTTTCTCTTATTCCTAGGAATTCCCCCACCTGAAAATGGGATTCTTGCAGAACTTTGAAAAGCATCAAAGACATTCTGTCCCTGGGTTTGGCAGCAGCCCCTCTGGTACCGTATCCAAGGGACCAAGGGAAACCGGGAAGGGGCTCCCCATTGCCTCCCTTCTCCCTCCTCTTTCTGATGGGCTTTGCCAGTATTCCTGATCTCCACCCACCCTCCAAATGTCCCATGCACTCTCCGTCCCCCCGCCGCCGCCCCCAGGCTGAGACAATTTGCTTCTCCCTGGCACAGAGGTGAGTTCGTTCCCCTTGGGATTTGGGCTGGGAGACACAGAAGAGGCTCCCCCCCCCCACGTCAAAACATGGTTTCAAGCCAAGCATCTCAAATGAGAGGGAGCGCCGGCCTCCAAAGACGAACCCGAAGCCCCCAACCCTTTCCTGGTTCCCTTTGGAACCCTCCGACTTCTCGGCTGCAGATCAATGACTGAACCAAGGTAGAGAAAATCTATAACTCTTTTGAGTTCTTCACAGTCAGCCTTACAGGCACGCCATTCTTCTGCTCCCAACAAAACTGATCTCTAGCTGTCAACCTGGTCAAAATTTTGTTACTGCTGGTTGGAATTGGGTGGAGGGAGAGGATGCTTGGCATCAGGAAATTGCAGTTCCTTTTCTCCTCCACGTGTTTAAAAACAACAGGCAACGAACACCCCCCCCCCAAATTGCTCATTTATATGCCTATAGGTGGTGGCGCTGTGGGCTAAACTGCAGAAGCCTGTGCTGCAGGGTCAGAAGACCAGCAGTCGTAAGATCGAATCCACGCGACGGAGTGAGCTCCCATCGCTTTGTCCAAGCTCCTGCCAACCTAGCAGTTCGAAAGCATGTAAATGCAAGTAGATAAATAGGTACCACCTCGGTGGGAAGGTAAAATGGCGTTCCCTAGTCACGCTGGCCACGTGACAACAGAAAACTGTCTTCGGACAGGCGCTGGCTCTATGGCTTGAAAAGTGGGATGAGCGCCGCTCCCTAAAGTCGGACACGACTGGACTGAAAATGTCAAGGGGAACCTTTACCTTTACCTTTCTATCCCTTTAGGTAACGAGAAAGCTTATGGCTTTACCAACAGCAGCCAGCTGGCAGGGAAATCCCGCCTTTCACCCGACTGGAACGCCCCCTGTCTCCTGCAGGCTCTTTCTGAGGCAGGAGCAGGCAATTCTGGAGATCTTCAATTGGGGGGGGGGGAATATTGACACACACACTCCCAGCACCAGTGCCAAGTCACACCAGGCCTACAAACAGATGATGGAGGCAGTGGGACGCAGGTCTCCGGGCGGACAGGCAGGCACAGTGGTCAAGCAGGCTCACGCTGGGCCCATGGCCTCCAGAATGGCTCAGGGCCCCAAGGACCTGCCTTGCCATCAGGGGACCCTCTGGGCCAAGGGCAGCTATCTAAGTGTGCATGGATGTTTCCACATCTCTCACATCCACACCTTTAAAGGGATAATGCTGCAACCAGGCTGTGCACAGCCTCTTGCCCTGGGCCACTATCTTCCTGCTTCCTTCCTCCACTGGCCCCTCAGAGGGGGAGGGTGCTCCTGAGAATTCCCAGGGGGAGGCAGATAAAGCCGCCTTCCAGTCCGAGGCTCCCTCCCATGCTGTCAAGCCCAACTGTGTGCAAAATGCACCCTGACAGCGAGGAGTCACCCAGACCAAGTATCAGCGAGCTGCCAGCTCAGTCAATGACTCTGCCCTGGTGCCTGGCTCAGGTGCCGACTGATGTGTGCGCACATGTCCCACAGAGGAGAAGGGTGGGCTGTTAGAAGGGGTGGTGAGCTATTTTAAGGGGGCTGGGGAGTCAAGGCGTCCATGTGTCCTCCAGAGCTCAAGGCGCATGGCAAGATGCAGCCCAGTGCCTTTCAGTCCTGACCCATTCATTATTCTAGAGCAGCTGCTTCCTAGGGAAGCCATCTGACTTTGAGAGACAGCGGCTGATGCTGCCTAAAGGCCAACATCTCCTTGTGACGCTGCACGCCCACTCAAGCATGTGCAGGTCCAGGGGGAAGGGCTTCGGCTACAGACCAAGTTTTGAGACCTTTCTTTCTTGATGACTGCGCCCATCGTCCCCTGGCCATGCTGGCTGGTGCATTCTGGGAGGTACGGTTCAAACAGCCGAGGGGCGGGGTGGAGAAAGGCACCTGGGCTTTAAAGCCTCCTCATACATGGGGGGGACGGGGTGTCCTCTCACAAGACAGTTCCTCTCCTTGTTTCCTTTTTGCATCTGCCGGGGGGAGCCAAGGAGTGGGGAAGAGGCCCTTGCCCACTGCGCAGTTACAAGCATCCTCTTCCTCTTCTGAAATAAAAGCGTCACCGTTAAGCCCGCCTGCTCAAATATGTATTTCATGTCTCGCTCACTGAGCCCATGACTAAACTGATGAGGCAGGAAACAGATGTTCCTGCTCGCTTTGGCACAGCCTCTGAACCTGTCCTCTGGTGGTGCTGAGCCTCGGTCTGAATGCTTCCAAGGAGGGCAATATTCATCAATGTCCCCCAGTGTCTGCACACAGCTCCGTGTTTTGGAAACACCTCCACTATTCCGATATCAAGATAAATGGCCTGTGCCAGATTCAACACATGCCAAAGCAGTTGAAGTCCCACGTTTGCTTCCGACCTGAAAATGTGGGGAGGTTTCAACCTCAGGATTGTAAAGAACACACAGACAATGTCTGGGCAAAACCTGACACAAATCAAGCGGAGGCCAGCAATTACCTACCAGGACTGTGGTCACCACCAGGGACCTGTTGGTGAGGGAATCCGTCACGTTGGGGCCTTGCCTTCGAGCAATTTCGGTGATGTTCAGCCCCTCGGATGGGCTCCACACCCCAACCTGTGGGAGAGGCAAAGGCAAACGGGAGCAAAAACTCAGCCAAGGGGATGAGATCTGATTCCCCGGGTCCCTGATGAGAAAGAGGCCCATGGCTAATGCCAAAGAAGGTAGAGGGGAGCTCCTTGGAGAGCCTCCCCTATGAAAGTCAGGATGAGTCCCCAGCATTTAAGTGGGAGCCTTGAGGGCAACCCACTCCAGGGACCTGGGACGACGTGAGGAGGAAGACCCCACCCACCCACACCTCATCATGGCACTTTTCCACAACCTGATTTGCTCCAGGCTCCTACCAAGAGAGATATTTTATTTTTTTATTTATTTGATTTGTATCCCACCCATCTGGTATATTTATACCACTCTGAGCAGCTAAAGAGAGAGAAGAGACAACGGGAGGTTCTCCCTTCCCCTGGATGTGTACAGACTCAGCTCCTGGGCCGAGTGAACCTTTGCCGCCTCTTCACATACACCACACCACACACACACACACAAACACACACAGAGAGAGGTACAGCCTGTGTCCCTTGACTGTAAAATGAGAACAGCCCCAAGCTGCTCCCTTCCAGAGGTGTTGGGAGAGCCAAAAGGATTCGCAGCCCAGCTTTGCCCTTGGCTCTCCGTGGGTGGTGACCCACTGCTGTGTCTTTTTTGCTCTTCAGAGGTGCGCCTGGCAAAGGCCGAAGTGCTGGAGCATCAGCTCAGCTGCAGCAGGAACCCGGCCCAAAATGCACGGGGACGAGGTTCAGCTCCATTCCCAGGCAGAGAAAGCCCTGTTTTCCCATAGCGGCTCTAAAGGTCACCCCAGAGGCAGCCGGCCCTCGGCGGTGTTTCATGGAGGGGTTGGTGAAGAGCCACTGAAGAAAGGCTCCATTCTCAGGTTGCTACATCGTGCAAGGCAAGGAATTCTGTATCTCACACTTCCTTTTCTTGGAAATCATACAGATTTAAAAAATAAAACTGCACTGCCAACTGCTCGTGTTGCAACCTGAGAAAAACAGAGTAAACCACCATCCCAACACTTTTCTGAAGGGCCAGGCTGTTCCTACAAAAGCTTCTCCCTTTCCTCTCACAATGAGGTAGGGGCCAAAGGGTTATTGTGGGGGGGGTAGGGTGGGGAGCCAAGAGGCTCCACCAAAGACCCCACTGTCCTCTGTGAAGATGACCGGGCAGAAGGAAACAGAGGAATTCGGCGTGGGGTGTCTGATTGCATCGGCGGCTGTTTTGCAAAATCCCACCATCACTACCACACCGATCCTCCGCCCCACGCCTGACACTGCCGTGATCGCTGGATAACACGCGATTTGTAATTACACGTGGCTAATGCCGCCGTAATCCGCAAACTTGCAGGAGGCAAGGAAGATCAGAAAGCCCTCCGCTAAACCTCAGGAAATGTAAGCTATTAAACATAATAAGCAAAAGTACATACTGGGATTTGCTCCCGGTTTGGGCGCATCATTAATTCAGATTATCTATTGACAAGAATGTAATGTCCCAACTCTGCAGGGATTTGACACGGACACTTTAAAGCCTCTCTTGAGCTGACGAAGAGCTTAAGCACACAATTGTAAGGCAGGCAAAGCGTCCACACATCTTCCTGGGCAGGAGCCCGTGGGAAATCATGGAAATGAACCACAGAGTCTCCAGCCCCTGTTTGACGTCAGGCGTTGGCCTTTGTGAAGAGGAATGACCACATACTCGTCCTGGGCGAGGGATGCGGGTGTGGAGACGCCGGGCTCCTGTCCCCTCCTAGAGGCCCCGCAAAAGGTCAGAGACAGCATGAAGAGAGTTTAAAAAGGGCAGAGGAGCTCAAGTAAAAGGGCCCCCAAGCTCTGTGCAGGATCCAATAAGAGAGCCCCCCCCCATGTCTTTGCTGACCTTTTCCAGCCCCTCTTCCTTGAGGCTGATGATGTCCAGGTCGAAATCGGTCCTCAAGCCGCTGGTCTTGTTGAAGACAATGCGCCCGGTCAAGCCTTCCCACTGGGCCTAAAGGAAGGAGGAGAGGAGAGAAGGTGGCCAGGGGCTCTGTGCGCGCATGTGTGCGCGAGTGTTTGTGCATGCATGCATTGGGGCCAAAGACCAAGGAGACACAGGAGCCGTTCATCGAGCCCAGCCATCGCTCATTTGCTTCAAGGAGTCGGATGCTTCACTTCCATTACTTTATGGCTGCCACTGGGTGCTGCAGAGGACGGGGAGTTCTTCCATAAATCCTGGGGGCTCAAAGCCCTGCCTCTGGGGCAGGGGTGGGGGAATCAGTTTAACCTTTGCTGAGGGGTCCAGTCACTGGCCACTCAGTGCCAGAGGGGTGGCCCAGGGCAGCGGGGGAGGGGAACATCGTTTCCCCCCCCTCCCCCAGCCTTGAGCCAAGTCAGGCTGGACAGCAGATGCCTGGCCTGGCTGAAGGACTGCCTGTTGAGGCTGAGCATCTTCCTCTGGTTCTTCTGCCAATGCTAAGGCTCAGACTCAGACTTGCAAACTGTAAGTCAAGGAGAGTGTGCCTCTTGGCATGTGCAGAGTGCCTTTCCTTCCCCCCACTTACTGCCCACTGGCATTCAAGGTGAGTCTCATCCATGAGAGTAGCTAACCTTGAGCAGATCCCATGCTACCATCACCAAAGCCCTTCCGTGTCATCCCTGCAGCCACACAGACCCTTCCCGGGACTGTCCCAGCTGGCAATGATCACACAATGCCACATTGACGACTAAGTGGCTGAAGGAGGTTGTAGACCTTGCAGTGGTGGAGGACGTGGAGGGCCCTCAAGTCCCTCTGACCTACGGTGACCCCTGAATTAGTGACCTCCAGAACGTCCTGCCATGAGCAGCTCTGCTCTGGTCTGGAGACAGCAATGGTCCTTGCACTCCGTTCCACTGGCCTTGCCTGAAGACAATGGTTCAGGCCCATCTCCAAAGGGAGGACTGCTGGGAAGACTGGCTGCAACAGCACCTGCCCATCCCTGGTCAGGAGAAGCACAGGGGCCACCAAGACCGGGAGGAAGAGGAGGAGGAGGAGGCAGCCCTCATGGCCCCAAAGGGAACCCTCACCCCAGGCTGTTCCAGAGCCATGGGCGCAGGGCTAGCCCAGGTGCCACCCAGGAGGGGAACCCCGGGAGACCCAGCGACAGGGATTTGGGGTGTGTGTGTTTGTGTGTGTGTGTGTGTGTGTGTGTGTGTGTCACCCAAAGCCTTTGCAAAAGGGGGGAGGGGCCCTGAGACGGAAAACGCCCTAGAGAAGCATGACACTGGCAGGGAAGTGGCCCCTCTCCATTTCCCTCTCTCACACAAGAGCCGCATTCTAATCTGAGGCCAGACCGTTGAGCAGAAGGAAGCCCGCCTGTCATTGTCTCCTCATTGTTTTTCTCTGCAAGGCTCAAGGGAAACGGCACCACGGAGTGCCTCTAATTTCCAAGCCACAAGGCAGAGGCCAGCCCTCTGCCTCCTCCTTGACAACACAAACGGCACTCCAGTGGGCTGTTTGTTCTCATGGCGATGGCACCCACAGCCGCCGGGCACCTCTCCTCTCCCGGCACTAGAGACTGCTCAGTGATAAGCATGCGGAGAACGGGAGGGTGATGGGGGGGTGGCACTCCACTAGAGAGGTGCCAATCCATGACTGGGGCCTTCCTCTAGACCGTCCCCTGTTTGGATCCTGCCAGCACTGCAGCCCCGGAGGCCAGAGGTGAAGGTTTTCTGCACCCAAAGGATAATGAGACAGGTTAGCAGGGAAAGGAAGATGCAGGGGGCCTCATCCACTAGAGCCGAGACTCCAAAAAGGCTCAGAAGGGCTGTCAAGGCGACAGGGATTTACTGCAGGGCCACCTATTCCAACGCCAAGGTTCAGCCTAGCGTGCTTTGCCTTGTAAGACAACACAAAGGCGTCGGAGGCACTGGGAAGGCCCAACGTGCCCCTTTTGGGCACTCGCCCACTGGCCTCTTTGGACTGCCAACACAGGAGGCTTCTCTGCTTGTCCACCAAAGACCCCACTGTCCTCTGTGAAGATGACCGGGCAGAAGGAAACAGAGGAATTCGGCGTGGGGTGTCTGATTGCATCGGCGGCTGTTTTGCAAAATCCCACCATCACTACCACACCGATCCTCCGCCCCACGCCTGACACTGCCGTGATCGCTGGATAACACGCGATTTGTAATTACACGTGGCTAATGCTGCCGTAATCCGCAAACTTGCAGGAGGCAAGGAAGATCAGAAAGCCCTCCGCTAAACCTCAGGAAATGTAAGCTATTAAACATAATAAGCAAAAGTACATACTGGGATTTGCTCCTGGTTTGGGCGCATCATTAATTCAGATTATCTATTGACAAGAATGTAATGTCCCAACTCTGCAGGGATTTGACATGGACACTTTAAAGCCTCTCTTGAGCTGACGAAGAGCTTAAGCACACAATTGTAAGGCAGGCAAAGCGTCCACACATCTTCCTGGGCAGGAGCCCGTGGGAAATCATGGAAATGAACCACAGAGTCTCCAGCCCCTGTTTGACGTCAGGCGTTGGCCTTTGTGAAGAGGAATGACCACATACTCGTCCTGGGCGAGGGATGCGGGTGTGGAGACGCCGGGCTCCTGTCCCCTCCTAGAGGCCCCGCAAAAGGTCAGAGACAGCATGAAGAGAGTTTAAAAAGGGCAGAGGAGCTCAAGTAAAAGGGCCCCCAAGCTCTGTGCAGGATCCAATAAGAGAGCCCCCCCCCATGTCTTTGCTGACCTTTTCCAGCCCCTCTTCCTTGAGGCTGATGATGTCCAGGTCGAAATCGGTCCTCAAGCCGCTGGTCTTGTTGAAGACAATGCGCCCGGTCAAGCCTTCCCACTGGGCCTAAAGGAAGGAGGAGAGGAGAGAAGGTGGCCAGGGGCTCTGTGCGCGCATGCGTGCGCGAGTGTTTGTGCATGCATGCATTGGGGCCAAAGACCAAGGAGACACAGGAGCCGTTCATCGAGCCCAGCCATCGCTCATTTGCTTCAAGGAGTCGGATGCTTCACTTCCATTACTTTATGGCTGCCACTGGGTGCTGCAGAGGACGGGGAGTTCTTCCATAAATCCTGGGGGCTCAAAGCCCTGCCTCTGGGGCAGGGGTGGGGGAATCAGTTTAACCTTTGCTGAGGGGTCCAGTCACTGGCCACTCAGTGCCAGAGGGGTGGCCCAGGGCAGCGGGGGAGGGGAACATCGTTTCCCCCCCCTCCCCCAGCCTTGAGCCAAGTCAGGCTGGACAGCAGATGCCTGGCCTGGCTGAAGGACTGCCTGTTGAGGCTGAGCATCTTCCTCTGGTTCTTCTGCCAATGCTAAGGCTCAGACTCAGACTTGCAAACTGTAAGTCAAGGAGAGAGTGCCTCTCTTGCCTCTCTTCCCTCCCCCCACTTACTGTCCACTGGCATTCAAGGTGAGTCTCATCCATGAGAGTAGCTAACCTTGAGCAGATCCCATGCTACCATCACCAAAGCCCTTCCGTGTCATCCCTGCAGCCACACAGACCCTTCCCGGGACTGTCCCAGCTGGCAATGATCACAATGCCACATTGACAACTAAGTGGCTGAAGGAAGTTGTAGACACTGCAGTGGTGGAGGAAATGGAGGGCCCTCAAGTCCCTCTGACCTATGGTGACCCCTGAATTAGTGACCTCCAGAACGTCCTGCCATGAGCAGCTCTGCTCTGGTCTGGAGACAGCAATGGTCCTTGCACTCCGTTCCACTGGCCTTGCCTGAAGACAATGGTTCAGGCCCATCTCCAAAGGGAGGACTGCTGGGAAGACTGGCTGCAACAGCACCTGCCCATCCCTGGTCAGGAGAAGCACAGGGGCCACCAAGACCGGGAGGAAGAGGAGGAGGAGGAGGCAGCCCTCATGGCCCCAAAGGGAACCCTCACCCCAGGCTGTTCCAGAGCCATGGGCGCAGGGCTAGCCCAGGTGCCACCCAGGAGGGGAACCCCGGGAGACCCAGCGACAGGGATTTGGGGTGTGTGTGTTTGTGTGTGTGTGTGTGTGTGTGTGTGTGTGTCACCCAAAGCCTTTGCAAAAGGGGGGAGGGGCCCTGAGACGGAAAACGCCCTAGAGAAGCATGACACTGGCAGGGAAGTGGCCCCTCTCCATTTCCCTCTCTCACACAAGAGCCGCATTCTAATCTGAGGCCAGACCGTTGAGCAGAAGGAAGCCCGCCTGTCATTGTCTCCTCATTGTTTTTCTCTGCAAGGCTCAAGGGAAACGGCACCACGGAGTGCCTCTAATTTCCAAGCCACAAGGCAGAGGCCAGCCCTCTGCCTCCTCCTTGACAACACAAACGGCACTCCAGTGGGCTGTTTGTTCTCATGGCGATGGCACCCACAGCCGCCGGGCACCTCTCCTCTCCCGGCACTAGAGACTGCTCAGTGATAAGCATGCGGAGAACGGGAGGGTGATGGGGGGGTGGCACTCCACTAGAGAGGTGCCAATCCATGACTGGGGCCTTCCTCTAGACCGTCCCCTGTTTGGATCCTGCCAGCACTGCAGCCCCGGAGGCCAGAGGTGAAGGTTTTCTGCACCCAAAGGATAATGAGACAGGTTAGCAGGGAAAGGAAGATGCAGGGGGCCTCATCCACTAGAGCCGAGACTCCAAAAAGGCTCAGAAGGGCTGTCAAGGCGACAGGGATTTACTGCAGGGCCACCTATTCCAACACCAAGGTTCAGCCTAGTGTGCTTTGCCTTGTTCGACGACACAAAGGCGTCGGAGGCACTGGGAAGGCCCAACGTGCCCCTTTTGGGCACTCGCCCACTGGCCTCTTTGGACTGCCAACACAGGAGGCTTCTCTGCTTGTTGTCGGATCCGAGCCATGCTCCGGGGTGACCCCTTTCTGCCCAAAGAAAGTTGTCTGGGATGTTGGCACACAAAACACAAAGAGGAGGAGGGCCCTCCTTCCATAGGCGGGCCTCCAGCTCACTCAAGACCGAAGGGGCTCTTCTTACCTCTTTGATGAAGTTCATGAAGCGGCCACCAAAGCGCCAGGCTTTATGCCGGTGACACTGGAGGGAGTTGACCGTCATTTGCGGGGCCCGTTGGTAGCATACAGAGACAATGTGGACGGCATCGTACAACAGGGCAGCATCTGTCTAAAGTGAAGGTGAACGGCATTTACTTGGGTGACACCTCTAAGGGCAGGGAAGCCAGCAGGGCTCAGGAGGGGTGGCTGAGTCGCGCGTTCCCTACCCTGCAGTCCTGATCTCAGAAGGGGCCCACGCTGGCCTGCCCCACTGAAGGACATCCCATGTCTACTCTAATGGGGAGAGAGAGAGAGAGAGAGAGAGGCTCCCATGTCTACTCTAATGGAGAGAGAGAGAGAGAGAGAGAGACTCTCTCCGCTTCTGCCCCAGTTCACACCTGCCCTGGGTAGCTGATCCTTCCCACCAACACCATCCAGGCAACTACTACATGTGGTGGTTAGAGGGAAAGGTTCAATGCTCTCTTTCCTCACCCCCTCCAAATTGCCCACCAGCAGCATTAATGCTCCCCAAAGTGGGATCAAGACTTTGCTTCAAGCATTTTTCATGTACGTTTGCCTGGTGACCTATGGCTGACTGGGCCAGGCACCTCCAAAAGGAAACCATAATTGGCCTTATCTGCTGTTAAAGGTAGGACCTAACAAGAACAGATCCTCACCCCACCCCTGTCCCACTGCGCCCACCATAAAAAAGTCACCATAAAGTGACCATCGTACCATCATTACCCCTGCCATCAACCCGGGTTCGGGTTTGGGGGCCGTCTGCAACCTCTCCATCGACCATTTGTCAATGATGGCGGAGACGTGCGGGTTCTCCACATTCAGGATGCGGAAGCCGGTCAGGTTCACTCCAGAGTAGCGATATTGTTCTAGGTCTAATGCATAAAGATCCTTTTGAAAAAGAGAGAAACCTCCGTTCAGTGCTTTGTCTAGCTTCTTCTCAGCCTCCTCTAGCTTCCTGTCATCCACGGAGGGAGGCCTAGGCTATGTCCAGAAAGAAGCAAGCAGTGGCTGAGGAATTTCACTGAAACCCAGCTTCCCTCTGCCTCCCCACAGATCTTTCCCCTGGTCTATGAAGATGCCCTTCGCCCAATCTTTCCTGAACTGGAATCTCCCGGTTGTCCCCTGAGATGAGAGATTTCTGGATGTGCCTTCCAGTTAAAGAGACCCACCTGCAACACAGCAATAGGCAGAATTTCTTTAAAAGCTAAGAACTAATTTCACTATTTTATTTTTTCCAGTTCTCGGTCTGAGCCATGTCTGTGGGTAGAATTTAGCCTGTCAATTTGTGGAAGAGGAGCTGAGATGCATTTCTTGGCTTTACATTCCCCCTCTGCCGCCTGCAAATGAATGAGCAGGCTCTTTCTGCCATGAGTCAAGGAGGGGAGAAGAAGGAAGCGCTCAAGCAGAGTGCTGGCTGGGGGCCCAGTCCTGCCACTTGGCGCTCAACACAACTGAGCAGAGGGAACGCTTGCCAGCCCTGCTCCAGTGCACGGCCTCAATGCGCCCCTCTTGACTGCGCAGCTAAGAATAGCCATCTCTCTCTCTCTCTCTCTCTCTCTCTCTCTCTCTCTCTCTCTCTCTCTCTCTCTCTCTCTCTCTCTCTCTCTCTCTCTCTCTCTCACACACACACACACACACACACGGAGGCCTGCAAAGTCAACCTCAGCAAACAGAATCTGAATGGGACCGAGGGCAGCCAGGAGCTCATGACAATTGCTTTGCTTAGTAGAAAGAAGAAACAGCTGACCCAAGAGAGAGAGAGAGAGAGAGGAGGACACGCAGGCAGGGCACACCCAGGAGCGACCCCCTTGGCCCTGGCGGACGGCAGCGCCAGCAGCATCTTGTATGAAAACATCCTCACAGAGAGACTGCTTGATCTCATTCCAAGCACTGCCAGTCTGAGCAGAGCCGAGGGGTCCTGGAGGCATCCTCACGTACACCCTGTCGTAAAGAAATTGTGGTGGCAGAAATGAGGGGTGCTCGTGACCAGTCTGCTCTTCCATTTAAGGGGTTTTTCACAAGACTCTTGCTATTTACTCATTTATTCATGTTTCAATCTTTGCATTACAGAGATTAAAATAATGCATACCTTTCCTTGCTTTGCAGAAAGCAGCAGCAAGGAAAATCATTATCTCGTTAAAGAAATGCTTTGATTAAATGGCTCCTCCTAAAGCTCCTTTTTTCTCCCCCCCCCCATTTATCTCTTGCTTTCCACTGGCCAGGTGCTGACACATCAATGGACGACAGGCCTGGTCCCTCTTACAGACATTTGCAGAGAAAGGGCTGCTGTGCTTTTGCTTAGGGCGCCCAAGGCTGCCCTGAGCAGGTGGTGCTTGAGAAGGGAGTCTAAAAGCAGGTGAGGAAGCTGGTGGTGCTCCTCTCCAGAAAGGAAAGGAGACAAGGCCTTTTCCAGTCCAGCTTCTCCCTCCCTCCCTCCCTCCTCTCCACCCTTGAGTCATCCGAGGCCTGGGGCTATGTGCCTCTCACACCTTTTCGGAGACTCAGCTGCACAGGGATCCCCTCCCAAGTCTGGCCCAGAACCTCCCTGCGGTGGAGGCATTTGTGGGAGGCACTCAGAGATGCAATCAGGGGCTCTGGGTGGCATGACGGGCCACGAGACAGCCCTGCTTCAGCATCCTTCAGCAAGCATTATACAACTGGAAACAGGAAGGGAACTGGGGGGGGCAAGCAGGGGGAGCCATGCATACGGTCCCATCCCTTCCACATCTGGGTAGACCAAGAAGATTTGGAGCAGGGCTGGGAGCCCTTGCTTGACTTGTACGGACAGAGAAGGACAAGGGGTTGCAACGTTCATCCGAATCCCAGCACTGGCCAGGAATATCCTGTGGCCTTTAACGCAAGGTTTCGGTTATGCTCTCCCTTCACAGCCGACGTGGGGCCTCTGTAGCCTCCCCTCTGGTTCATGGCGATCCCCTTCGGGATTTGACACCTTGCCGTCTTACGCAAACTCTGCCTCTCCTTGCCAGCTGCTGATCTACCCTCTTCGTTGGGGCCCCAACCAGGGGATCTTGTCGCTTAAGCACAAGAGGCAAATTCAGTCACACCCCCTGGGCCTCGCTTGGCTCCAGAAAGGACAGAGCCTGGAGAGAGGGGGGGTTCTTAAAATATCTTTCCCACAATCCAGCTGCTATTTCAGGGAAGTGGCACTAATTGTAATTGCTTATCTCTTAATTTATTATAATTCCCCCATCCATAGCTCTTCGTCATCTTCACCTTCAAGCTCTTATGTTCAAAATATGCTCCCATCTTGCAAGTGGGCCCAGTTAATGGGAGGTTATCAGGGAACTTTGTAAAGCTGCTTCAGCTAGATAAGGGTGGCAGCAGCAATTAAAATGTCTCCTTGTCTGGAGTGGGCGGGCGGGCGGGGCTATAATTTACAAAAACATATAGATTTTTCTACATGCATGATCTCCTGTGCAGGATACGATCTGGGCCCGACCAGCCTGGTCTTAAGACACCTGACATACCTCCCTGACACTGAGGATAAATCGATCCGGGTTGGTCCCTACCTGGAGGGGAGATCGCCTTGCAAACCACCCCCACCCCCACGCCAAAATGATGTGAGTTGTTCCACCACGGCAGCCTTCTTCCCCTTCCATTGCTCCTTCCTCACAAAGAACCTTCTGGTCTTTGTGGCATCTTGGCTGGCGACGAAATCTGGAGACCTCCAAAGCACGCACGTGTTTGGGACCACCCTTCTGTGGTGGGTCTGACAAAGGCATTGCACTTGTACGCGTTTTTGGATTTTTCTCATGGTAGGCATGCCTGGCCTTGCATCCTGTCCATCCACTGGCAACCATTCCCATTGAGCCAGGATGAGATGCTCAGCCAAGAGGGAAGGCCCTCGGAGACCTTTTGGCTCTTGGCGTCCACGGCTGAAGCCTGGTCTGCTAAGCCAACACAGAACAGGCGGGCTCGTTTTAATTTTATTGCTCTTAAATGCAGAGGACTTGCAAGTCTCTCTTGAGCTAAAGCCTGCCAGTCAAAGTTAAAGAGTGAGGAACTTCCACTAGGAAAGGCTACAATATCCATTAAAAAGAAAGAAAGAAAACCCACAAAAGAAAACAAAAAGAAAAACACAGATGCACAAGTCAAGATACTTTACCAGTGTGGTGAAGATGAAATGGTAGTACTCTGTCATCATCCCCATCGCCATGGCCTGTGGGGGGGGGGGGAAGGCAAAGAGAAAGTTCATCGCAAAGTCAGCCTGTTGGAAAACGAAGGGAAGAGGTCCAGGGAACCCCACAGAAAACTGGCTTTGTGCTCTCGCCACTCTGGTTACTCCTCTGGAGTAGAACGGTTAAACCTCTGTCCCCCCCCCACACGCTTGCAGCTAGCCTGGGTGGGCAGAGCCCTGCCCCTGGGGTGAGATCTCCCAACTGCATCCTAGTGTCCCCTGTTTGTTTGGGGGGGTTTATTTCCCCCTCCCCAAAGTTCTGTCTTCTCTGTGTTCTGCCCAATCCCCATCATAGCTCCTCTGTTAGGCCTTTTGAAACTTTACACTAAGGAGAAGATTACTCAAAAAAATATATATTTGCTTGATAGAAGAGAATTTAATGAAGGAAAATGTGAAGGCAGTGAGGATGGAAGGGGTACAAAATTTCAGCTATAATTCAGACTTATATGACTGGATTCGAGGGTAGGAATGATAATTGTAGATGGATTAAATCAGTAAATGTGAGACAAAATGTTTTAAAGATGTTCTATAGATGGCAATTTAAAACTGGCAAAAAGGGTGTCAGAGATTAATTCAGGTTAAAATATTGTCAGCAATTCTTGTGTATGGGTGGTAGATAAGTACTGTATATGTAACTTTTAAACTAGAAATGTTTATGTGAAATATAACAAATTGTTGATTGAAAGATACACATATATACACAGTAAACATATGTGCACTGTAATATACTATGTAGTTAAGATTATGTATTAGATAAAATGGTAAAAGGGTGTTAGGGTCTAAATTTAGTAACTCTGGATGCTCTTTGGTATAGGTGGTAGACAAGTATATATAACTTTTAAACTAGAAATGTCCATGTTGAATACAATATTAGAAATTGTTTATCTTAAATAACACTGAGACTGGACAGTCCTTCAATTTGTTGACTGAAAGACACATATATACATAAACATATGACTATTATAGATATGTAGCTGCGTATTATAACATAGTTATGTAGTTAGATTATGTGTTAGATAGTGTATTATGGTAATCACTTCAAACTAGAAATGCTCTTGCTGAATTTAATATTAGAAGTTTTGATCTGAAATAGACACACACACAGAGAGAGAGAGAGAGAGAGAGAGAGGAGAATATAATATGATTTAAAAATTTTAGTAGGATAATGTGCTTATGTAGTCAAGACTATATATTAGATATGATAGTATGGAAAACACCTCCCTGTATGTATGTTTGGTATGTTTTGCATGTTTGTCATATAATAATAATAACATTTTAGAAAATGAAACTTTACAAAAAAACAACAACAACAACATAAGACAGCACTTGATGCAGATTCCAGATTCCTGCATATGCTAGTTTTCTTTTTCAAAAAGATTTTATGGTTATAAGTACATGTCAAATTCTCAGAAACTTGGGCAAGGCCTGTGTAAGGTGGTAAGAGGTTGTGGGTGTCACTGCCCTCCCCTCAGTTTCCACTCTCCAGTGGCCAGCAGAATAAATTATGCAAAGTATGAAGAAACAGGAGAAATTGCTTGGTTTGCATCACTTTAACAGACCGCAGAATCCGGCTTGGGCTGACACATGACTTTCACACCTCTAGTGGTGGATTTCTGTATTCATTCATAACCCAGAAAGAAAGAAAGAAAGAAAAAATAGGCAGGCAGCCTTCCTTGACATGCCTCTAACCTTGCTAGCTCTATCCTTTCTGTTCTGCTTCTCGCAAAGAATATTTGTGAAATTCCTTGCTTTTGCTAATTTAGGCTATGTTGAGAGGATGGCACACCTCAATGAGGAATTCTAAAGCCCTCCAAGACTCCTCATCTTTGGCCAAGACTGAGACCAAGAGCAAAGACAGGCTGATGGGTAAGAAAGATGCAAATAACCCATCGGATGCTTCAGATCTTTAACTACAGTTGCAGTCACTCTAGTTTTGTGACAACTGACACATAAGTGCAAATGTGCCCACTCCCCCAATATGGAAAGGTTCACATTCTTTCTAGTGCCGGGAAGAATCTTTTGAGAGGATCGAGGAACTGCTTGCTCTCCTCAGAATGTTGCAGCCCGTTATTCTTGGACACCAGGAAAAGACAAAGGGGAACAGACACCCCTCGTCTGAACAGATGTTCAAAGAGACCCCTGGAAGAATCCATCTTCCCAAGGAACGTCGTCTCCCGGAGGGACGTGTAAACTGGCACAGCTAAGGAAAGGTCTGCGGTGGAGCCCAGGCAGAGGATTTCTCTTTCAAGACACATTCTTTTTTCCAGACTATGATGGCTACAATGGGGAGGGGCACAAAAATAGAAAAACAACAGGGGGGGGGTGTTCTGCTGTTTGAGATCTGAATTTGCTTTGATTCCTTTGCCTTTGTGTGGGCCTTTAGTGTGTACCCACATGTGCAGCTAATTGGGAAACAAACAACAGTGTGCCCTTGATTCATCAGAGGGAGGGCTAATTGGCAATATTTCTAGGGTCCAAGAAAATTGTGGAGGAAAATGTGTCGTTGGAGAAGGGGGGGGCTGGGAATGGCTTTGTCAATGGCATCAAATCATTTTGCAGAGACGGAAAGGGCCTTGGCAGGTTCTACAAAATGGGACCGAAAGAGTCCAAGAAAGAAGGCTGATGCCGAAACCCGGAGGAAGACGGGGGGGCGTTTCCAAGCAGGGTGAGGTGAGGTCTCCACGCCTGGGCCGGAGCGAAGAACCGAGCAGTTGATGGAGATGGCCCTGAGGCAGGACCCGATTCTGCCCTGCTGTCCTCCATCCAGGAAAGGAGGGGCAGCCCTCCCTTCGGCCACCCCTGACCGTCAGATTTCGGGTTGTTTTTTTGGGGGGGAACCCTGCAGACTGCTCACAAAATCATTGGTTTTTCTCTCCAAATAAGGCAAGGACCACTGGCCTCTTTGCGGTGGGCTGCGGCCTGGGCTGGAAGGGCAAGGCGAAAAGGGTCTGGACACACCACGGTGTGAGGAAGTAGGAGGAGAGGGGATGCCGAGGGTTTGGTGGGAGATGGAAATGGAAGCTGACCTTCTCCATCCACCGCTCTGAGCCTTTGCCACAGATTGCCACAGAAGGCAGGGGTCTGAGGAGGCCAAAATGTTCAGTGTGACAAGCAGCAGGCACCCGGCCCCTAGCCAGAGGGACCCCCCTCTCTCTGCTGAAAGGACTAGGGCAGGATTTAGCTGGGAGGAAAACGGAGCAGCCAAAGGCCCTCGGGGGAGGCGCTGTCAGTCATGGGTCCACTTTCCCTTCGGCCCTTTTCTTGACCTAGATGGTGTCAAGGAAACAGAGGCCAGGCAGAGGGCTGGGGGGGATGAGGGGAGAGGGACTTCTGAAGAAAGTGGTTCTTGCCACTCATCTCTGCAGTCATGTATGCAGGATGTGGCCCCATGAGCCCAGAGGGTGCCAAAGGGTCCGCTAGTCACACAGGAACTGGTTTGGAGCCAAGGTGAGCCAGCACTGCGGTTTCTCTGCCATGGAGCAGAGTCCACCTTGTTTGATGCACCCCTCCTTCGAGGTAGGCCACTGGTGGCTGCCTGTGGAGGTTCTCCTTCCAGTGGGGAACAACCAGCCTCTGCACTCACCAATCAAGTAGGAGTGAAGGGCCAGCCCAGACTCTGTTGCCCAGCAGGCACCAAAGGTTGACTGTCCCTTCTGGCTGGCAAAGAAGCCAGCTCCAGGGGAAGCCGCCAGCGCTGGAGAATGGGGTGGGCTGACATGAAAGGGGGTGCAGAGTGCTTGGCTTCTCAGGCGGTTGCTTGAGCTTCAGCGCCTTTTACCCCACATGCCCCTCTCCAAAGATGATTCAGGAGAGGACGGATCAGCAGGAAGGAACTGGAGATGCTCAAATGTGTTCACAACTGGCAATCCAACACAGTGGCCACATCCCCGCCGTGCAATCTAAGTTTTGGGCTGTTCCTCACTGGTACATAAAGAGGCCCCACCCTCGTTCTCCGAGACGCACAGGCAGGCTGGCACATCCCCGGGACTCGCTGTGGGGTTCTTGATTTGACTGGTGAGGAATGGCACAAAACCTGCAGATTTGCTCCCGCAATGCCACAGGATTCCAGCCAGTGAGGAGAAAACTGTGATGATCTTGGCTCTCGGTTGCAAGAATGAAATCACCATGGAACTCCATCCCTGCTTTGAGCTGAGCCAAAGAGGGACAGCCTTGGAGTCCACATACTGCATGGCCACAAAACACAGAAGAAAATACACATTTCATGCAGGTCTTGTCATTTTGAGATCTCTCTGTTTTGGTACAACTCCAGCAAAACCTTGCCTGCTGATCATTCGGTGTTGTGACAAAATTATGCTTTCTAGATTAGGGAGACAAATCTTCTCTTGTCTCATCCTAGCAGACAAGGAAGAAGAATTTCAAAATAACTTGTCAGCAGTTGCATCAAGCAAGACTTTTCACTTCCAGCACAAGAGACGCTCCTTTTTCCCTCCGAAGTTTTCCACAATTTCCACAAAGCAACATCTCTGCACCATGCAAGCTTTCCCCTTTGTGCAGCTTTGCACATGCTCATAACAAGCACAGAAGGAGTCGTTGATTGACAAAGAAGAAAGGAACCAACCATCTAGTGCTTCTAACTGTTAGGAGGGCAGAGAGCAAGACGGCAGCTAGGATAATTTTGTGCAACGGTGGGGAAAAAGGTTCCCAGAAATGCCAGAACTCCTCTGGAGAAGGTCAGGAAGTATTTTGTCGCCTTGCAACGCAGGGAGAAATACTTAGCAGTTTCTGCAAGCAAGGATTTACGCTCGTGGAAAGATCTCAAAGGGAAAAAGGGGCAAAAAGGGAGGAGACGCAAAACGGGGGGGGGGGATTAGGACACTTAGCCTCACAAACCAGGACCTCATTTATGCAAATGGATCGCCCATCCAAACAAGGGAGAGGCGGGTTTATCTGTCTGAAGCCCAGGCTTGCCAGGGACAGGTGCAAACGGGAGGGGAGGGGCAGGACAGCAGACGTCAGAAAACCCATCAGCAGATGCACTCAGAAAGGGCAACCAGCTGGACAGCCAGCCAGCCGGGGCTCTCCTCTGCCTGGAGGCGAAAAGCCAAGCTGTTGAAATCCATCAATGGTTAGAAAAATGAGCATTCTGGTGGATCTTCCTGGAGGCCACTCAAGCTGCGGATGGACGGTGAGCGGGGTGGGGGTGGCCTGGAACCTCACCCCATGTGGGAGGCCATACAGCAGGGTCCAGAAAGGCACTCTGCATACGAGCCAGAGGCTCACTCTTCCTCATCATGTTGCTGTTGGTTGGCCATTCAAAAACTGTGCTGTGGCTGGGCTACAACTCCGGATAATCACAGAGCAGGTTTGTCTCCTCCTTCCGAACAGCACCCTTCTCTGGAAAACCCATCCCCTGCCCCCAACGTGACAAAGGCCCCCTTCCCGGCCTTGTGAGGCATGGTCTGTCCCTTCCTCAGGCTGCTGTAAGTCTTAGAAGGCCTTCATTAAAAACAGGAAGTGACTGTTTGAAAAACTAACTTGGGGGGCAATCTGAGGAGGCCTGTGGCCACCCAAGGGGTGGTCTCTGGGGAACCCTACAGCAGACTTTGCCCACCCTTGCAGAAAGACCTGGATAAAATGTCAATTATTTTGCATGCCTCTGGGGCCAAGACTCCTTGCTTTTGGGAAAGGTATATTATGTTTATTTCACAAATACAAAGACAGGGTGGGGTGTTAAAAGAAAACCATCAAGACTGGGACTGAGGCTGGGGGTGGGGCGTCTACAACCCTCCCTCTCTCCCTCCTCACCTGGGTGTCATGTCCCTCAATTCCAGCTGTGCTTGCAAAACCCCCCTGCCTGAAATGGGAACCTTTATGTGAAATTGTGAAAATAGTGCACTCTTTCCCTCTTAGGGATGGGAAGAGGACGCACAATGTTCCTTATACTCATTGGTTTAGGCTGTTTCAAAACAAGGAAGCACCTTGCCAAGATTTAAAAACCCTTGCAAGATGCTTTACCTGAAGCTGAGAAGAAACAAAGGGCTTGGTCATCCCAGTTCCACCGTCTCTCTGTAATCTATGCAAAACACCTCTAGCATTTTTTCCTCCTCGAGAAGCAATGCATGTGCAAACACACACACACACACACACACACACACACACAACAAGAGCAAGCTGAGAAAGATGGGTGATGATGAAGGAAGATGCAAACCACCTGGCCAGTACTTCAAATCCTTTTTTCAAAAAAAGAAAAAACTTGTTTGCTGCTATTTGAGTAATTTGTACAATTGCACAAACAGAACAATTTTGTGCAAAATGGGAAATGTTACAGGGAAGGGCCAATTTTGCCCCCAAACTGGCAGCTTTGAGCGATCTTGCACTGCATCTAAGTGGCAACACGACTGAGTGCCAGGAACTCCCCCACTGGCAGGAAAAAAATGTAACAGTTTCTCACTCTAATGAGAAGACAAAGAAGGATTTTCTTCCTTCCTCCTCCTGTAAAATATTTCAGCATTTCAAGCAAACACTACGTGGGGTTCCAAAGCACTCAGCACATGCTCAAGAATTCTCTCTTGTGGCACTAAGAAAAGATCCGCATTAATTCTGTCCTTTAGAGAGGGAAGGAGAACCAGTGTGTGTGTGTGGGGGGGGAGCACGCCCTCTTGTCTGCAGGAAACCCATGCATGAGCCTCGGTGCCTCTTCTCTGCAGCTGAATCCGGGTTCTTGTGAAGCCTCAGGCCAGCTCCTCGGCCGGCCGCCGTGTCCTGGAAAGACCACAAACAGCTCCTCCCCGCAAGCTC